ATGGTTGTGCTTTTTGCATATGCTCTGAGGCAGCAGCTCCTGTTGTGTGCCCATCATTCTACCCACGATGGCCAGCACCTTTGGGCTGCCGCTTGACACACAAACTCGCCACAGTTGGGACAGGCAACCGGCCTACGCAACATGTCCGGTGCTTTCGCCACGCGCCAGGGAAGAGTATGGAGGTTACTTCATCGTCCCAGCAATATCGTTCCTAACGTTGCCTGCAGAAGCCAGGCACCGCGAGAGGTTCTGTCCCCCAAATCATGCATTTCCATTGGCACTACAGTACTATATACATGAACGGTAAAAACCGAGAAGGTCAAATCAATAACATGACTTCAACTCAAGGCCCGGCCCAGTATCGGCAGGGATACTCCTCACCGTCCTCCTGACAAGCGGCATTGGCACTCTCATACATAGGTCAAGTACTGCAGCACGACTTACATGAGCTCAATAGGCGCGATGGAGTGTCGGGAAGGTCATGCATGCAGACATCGTGCGGTGGAGCGAAGTCCTCGCAACTGCGAGTGGAGAGACTGCGAAGAGATGGAATGGAAAAAAGGGGGAGTGAGACAGAGAGACACAGAGAGAGGGGGGCCTACAAGCGATCGAAGAACCCTACACATGCCTACAAGACAAGAGACCGCCAAGAGATCGAATTGAATCGAGGCAGCTCTAACCATCTGTCAAAACAAGCGTGATGTGGAACCATGGCGGGTGTCGCTACTTTGCCCGAAGAAGGCTTCGAGGAAGCGAGTAGGCGGCAAGGAAGTAATGCGGGATAGAAGAAAGGGAGGAGACAAAAGACAGGCCGAACCCAGGAAGGGTCGAACAAGCAGGGAGGGCGACTACCAGAATACCGACACATTAAGGACGCTTGCAAAAACAGTGGGCAAGAATGTTCACATCAACAAAAAGCCGAGCCAGTATGCCAAGAGGAAAAACTTGTTTGTAACAGTGCATTATACTCATTATACAATATGGCAGAGTCCTGCCCGTTGAAGGACATGCAAAGACTGATTCGAATCCGCGGGGGAAATGCGCTAGACACAACGCAATGAAATGTAACATAACAGTTTGACGTCAAGTTGGAGCAAAGTGCAGGGCAACGTATTGGCACGCAGGCCGTGAGGTAGTGTGTGGTCGGTTTTTTTTTTTTTTTTTTTTTTGTTGGTGTTGTAAAGATTTTAAGTACGAGGCTGTGAGAATCACGCTTTCAGACTGGACGTGGCACTGCAAGAAGATCCTGTGCTTCCGAAGTCTCATCTTGCCAGAATTCCAGAAGTTTCTGCGCTCCACCTACCTCGGGCAGAGCATGCAAGACTTGGCTTGATGAACTGACGGGGTGAGTTTTGTTGCTCCTTCATCAAGTCTAGGCTCTCTCAGAATTCCAGAAGTTTCTGCGCTCCACCTACCTCGGGCAGAGCATGCAAGACTTAGCTTGATGAACTGACGGGGTGAGTTTTGTTGCTCCTTCATCAAGTCTAAGCTCTCGCATCGCAAGCCACAGCACGCACGAGTGATGACAGTGATGGCCATCAAGGTCAGGAATTCGGGGCCCGGAAGAGACCGACAGCTGCTGCAAAGTTTGACAGTGCTGCAGGTTTCGAGCATCTGCCAATAACTTGCGCAACGCGGACATGCTCTGCATTGCGGCATCACTCACGGCTCAACGACTCTACACACTCTACAACTCCGGACACCAGTGGGCAAGAGTGCGGCTAAACTTCATTTGATCGGAGGAAATCGGGCGAGGCTTCCACCCGCGGCTAGACTGAGTTCGGCGCTTTGATGAGGCCCCGCTGCCACACCGGACTGTCCCGCCGGTTGCTGTTGATCCAATTGTAGACCACCTCGGCAGAGCTACTTCAGTAGGCATTTTGAGATTTTGAGATGTGCAGCTTCAAGTCGGTGCCTGCACCAAAGCTCAATATTCATCAACACTTATGCTTACGCTGGCTCCTGGCTGCGAACCCCCCTCCAGCTTGAGTCCAGGTCTGAGGTCGTCGCGCTCAGAACGGAGTTCTTGGGGGCCAACTTCTGCTCACACACCTCGGCTTTCCGATGCGGCAGGCGCCCACGTGCTGCAAGAAGCAGGCTGCTGTCGTGACGGGATTGCATGTTTACATCTCAGTAATTACATATGACAAGCAGTACTACGCTGCCTGTCCAGATAGACTTGCCTTTGCCAAAGCTGGGGCGAGATCGTAGTGTAACAGCTTGAACATTTCGCGGCAAGCATCCTTGCGGACAAGCTTGGAAGAAGGAGTGAGGGTTGGATGCATGATGCTCCTGAAAGCACAAGCCAAGCGGTCATGTATTGCAGATTGAGGCGTGTCAAAGGCTTGGCTGCGAGCTGGCCACAATATGCAACAAAGCAACCCGCAATTCGCAGAGGGTAGGGGCCTGTCAAACAACACCTAAGCCTCAGTCACTATATGCAAACTCATGCTCGAGCCAGCCCAAGCCCCGATATCTTGTCCGCAAGCTCGCCGTCTAATGGTTATACACAGTCTTGTTATGTTACTGGTGTATGAATTCCAAAACCGACCGAGAGAATTTTAGCTAGTCGTTGCATCCGTGCTCTGAGTCTCCTCCTCTGTCGGTGGAGGATATCGCTTTGTATTCCGCAATGGAAACCTGAGCTCAAGTCACCCAGAAGGACTCGGGCGCATCACAGCGGAAATGTTGATGAGATGAAGGTCATCAGTGGAGGACATGAAATGGACTCTCCATCAGACACCGCCCAGCATAGACCCGAACAAGTCTCAAGAGTCTGGAGATGTCTGTAGCATTGCTGTTGGGCGGTCCTGGTAGTATACTTGGGACGCCTACTTTTCTCATCTGTTTTCTTTCGTCACGCAAAAGACAGGCCTGCAGGCCAATTGTGGGAGTTTCAGGAAATCGGGGAACCCAACCATCATCCTAAGTTCTGAGTACACCGGTAGGATGATGTAGGATCCTGATTGTGAAGACCTCTGAACACGGTACTGAAATCCCATTCAGAAGTCTCCGGTATCTTCCGACTGTGTGTGCTGACAGGCGACTCTACCGGAGGCAGCGGGTAGGCGAAGCCCACCTTGGTTAGGGGGCTGTACTGGTCTTTTCGACAGACCAAGTTGACTGCAACAGCCCAGTCCTCGCTCACCCTCTCCTAGGCACTCGAAACTTCAGGCCTGGCCTAAGCCGTGAATCTCCTTCACTGAATGTCCACGCCAAGGGCAGCGACGTTGTCGGGATCGGGCTCTTCACGGGCTGGCAGGCTTATCTCCTCGCAGACCACACTTTCGGGACCCGACACCACGCCTATGCAGAACAGGTTTTGCATCCTGCTCAGAATCTTCGGAGCTGCTGCAAAGGCCAAAGCCGGGCCTCATCTGGGCCCAGCACGATGGAGCTGTGATATCTACCTGCCAGCCCCACATCGTGTTGCTCAGCTCGTGCCTTCTTCTGTGCCATCGGCCACTCTCTTGCTTGTCCATCTTATGCAAGGCGTGGTACTGACTTGACCAGGTGTGATCAGACATTTGGATCATGGGACATGGGACTACTGACTGTGAACAAGCGCTTCCTAAGCTTCATGGAATCCTGACCGTAAACCAGGCAGCAGCACCCCATCCCTCCCACATCTTCAGGTGCTTCAGCACCTGAAGGACGGGCCGCACGATGTCGCACACGATGGCTTGACAACGAGGTGTTCGTCTCGGACTACGTTTGGAGCCATGTACTCGTCAAGAAACAGTAACTTGTCTTTCTGCATCTGGACTCCATGGATGGCATGCAAAACCCCGTGCAAGGGAGCAAGGCTGCATCAGCAGACTGAGTTTGCAAGCTTGGGATGTTCTGTCGGGAGATGCGGGTTGTACAGCAGTACTGAAGCTGGATTCGGAAACGGTAGACCGGGGGACCGCGACTTCTCTTGTCCGGGTGCCTCTTCCTGCGTTGCTGCTGCCTTGGCATATTCTTTGGCTTTCGCAAGAGCCTCCTTCTCCTGGCGTTTAGGATTCGGCGAGCACACTGCGCACACTGCAAGGCAAGCACAGTCCTGCGACGATAGTGTTTTGGCTCTTCGGGTAGCCCGTGCTTTTCTACCAGCATGGCTTCTTGTCACGATGACTGGTGGATGATGATGCAAGGACGCCAACACGCAGTCAAAGCCGCCGCCTCGGCGGACATCCCGAGGACCTCAGCTGGAATGCCGCAAAACTTCCACAAACGATAGGCTGCGACTGTGACAGTGCACTGTTATTAGATGCAAAACACAACCAGCCACAAGCAGTCGCACCCACGATCCCTAGGAAAAAGCGATGCAAGCGAGCACCGGGAGTGCACGGACTTGGGGACCGGGCCCGGAGTCCAGCCGCGAAGCTGTCGACTCTGACGGGGAACCCGACTAAATGCAAAAATGGCGGCAAACGGCAGGCAACGGGTCGAATGGCAGATGGGCCATCTGGCTCCTACATGCTCGTGCGCTCGGAAAACTTCTTCCACTTAAGCTTGCCGGCCCAAGACCCAAACCACGTGCCAGAAAAGGAGCTGTGAAGAAGCAAAGGGAGTTATATGCCTCAAAAACTAGCAAGCCAACCGAAGAAAAAAAGGGGAAACCTCGAACACTTGCCCTCCAAAGCCCGATCCGAGTTCAATTTCAAGTGAAACTATATGATTATTGCTGCATGATGGCTTGGGGAGCAACCTGCAGTCTTAGTTGAGTGCACGGATGCCGATTTTCGCACCGAAAGCCGGATCCGCAGCCCGGCGCATTGCTTCAAGGCGACTCACAGTGGCCCAGAGTCTGAACATCTCTCGCAGCTGCTGGGAGAATGTGGGCCGTCACCTAAGGAAGCCTATAAGGGACAAAGAAGAACATGCACAGGCGACGCCTGAAGGACCTAGATGTTTCGGGCATCTTGCAGGTCATGAGAACATCACTTCGCCTTGTCTGTGGAGAACTTTCTGCACATGCCACCACTGGGCCACCACTCAACAATCCTACGCACTGCTCAGCTGCTCTCTCGAAGCTCTTTCTCCTCAACGGTTCTGTCCTGTCCAGGCAAAGAGATCATCAGGTCTCCCAGAATTGTTATGTGCAGGTCCTCCACCACCTCAATTTGCCACTTCGGTTCTGCCTGTGCATAAACCGAACTTCAGCAACATTGCGTCGAAGGTTCCGAAATGTTCCAGACCCTGGCATGCAGCATGAACCTCATCATTCACGGCCAGCGCGGCTGCATCATGCGCAGCTGGTCTGAAGAGCACCTGCTCCGTGTTGGCCTGAACGACGCTACAGAGCCGCCCATTGGCAGGGATGAAGTTCCCAAAAGCAACATCTCAGCCCCTCGCCTGACTAGGCAAAGGCTGTGCGGGTGGATCTGAGTGCTTCTGCCTCACCGTTGGCGATGCACCGGCATCAGGCCTCAGATGGACAAAGCCTGAAGGGACCTTCAACACAATCAGAACTCCCCGAGGGCAGACATGCACAAATACCTCTCTCATTGTCAGCCGAGCTGCTGCGGACTTGGCTGAGAGGGCTGAGGACCGTCGGACACCTCAAATGACCACTCGGCCGGCATCGTTTCAATGGAGTGTTCCCCTCACCAGCCCGTTCCTTTGGCGTATGTTGTGTCTTGTTATTTAAGAACTTTCCTGATGTGCTGCATGGCAGTATCACGAGCGACCACAGATGTCAAGACGTTTTGTCGTGTTTCGCATGGAAACAGCTGGAATTCCGCTTCTACGCTGCTGTCGTCTCCTGCGTGTCTACTAGCGCGCTTGCAGAACCTTAGTAAAGTCCATACTCCAGGTCACAAGTGGCACACCGGCACATGCTGCACACTCACATTTAGAATGAGGCCCACACATCACCGGGTCGTGTCTTGCTTGCAGCAGGCAAAGCCTCTAGAGAGCCACTAACAAACAAGGATAATGCATGACATGGCATGACCCATTTCTAGCTGCATGTCATGCTCTCGTTGGCCACACTACGAGTAACACGCTCCCGGTCACATCCTTTCATGAGATGCGGCCATGTTCTGCAACTTCTGTTTTTGTCGCACACAGCAGCTCCGAACAGGCCGTGAGAGTTCCATGCAAAGTGCTAGCCCACAAGAAGTTGGAGCCGCTTGTAGCTGCCACACCATCTGGCATGAGTTTATCACACGCAACAGACTGGCTCCAACCCGGGCATGGCATTCGGAGCTCCAGTGCTTGCAAGACGCAAGTCATCGAAGCTCATTCGAACTTTCCCGTGAGTTTGCGCCCCGTGATGCCCCGTGCGCAACGCAGCTGTACAGGCAACTGTGGCAGCACTGGGGTAGAGCATATAGGAGGGAAGTAGGGCTTTGGGCTGACGGGCCCGAGTTCAAGGCTTCACAACGTGTCCAAAATCTGGAAGAAAGTCTCGCTGCCCACTAAAGCAGCCCTCAGCTTGGCATTTCCTCGGATGGAACTGCTAATCATGGATATTTTGTTTATGCACCAGGCACCCACACGTCCTGCGGCTGTCATAATTAATCATCATATGCACAGAAAAAGGCGCTGCAGCAACCCCTCTTGCCATCCCATGCCTTCAAGCTGATGTTGCCGTGAGTCTTTCATGACCGGGCAGGCCCTTCCAGCCAGGAATGTGCTTCTCCAGTCTGTCCTGTGCGCTTCGATACGAAGAAACATTATGACGGCCACAGCACTTTGCCCAAACTGGTGGGATTGACAACGAGGCCAAAGGTGGCCAACGTATCTTGTTTTGCTGGCTTTCCGGGGGCCGAGGCCGACAGATCCATAAATTACAGGACGGGGCGCGCTCATGGGTTGCAATCTCTTGACATTTACCAGGCTTAACGTCACAACCCACTGTTCGGGGAACCATACCCTGCCGGACAGCCAAGCTTTCAAGCCAGAAGTTTGGCGCGCGCCTGAACAGCTGGCTCCTCCCACATTGGCGCGAAGTAGTCCGATTTGCCAGCCAGAGCCTCCTTGATCATCCCCTGTGCTCTGAGACGAACGGTGACTTTATTTCATGTCTCATCGCATATTCACATGTGTACACGTCTTTAACTTCTGTCGAATGAGTCGAATGGATACTTGCTCCTCACACATTTCGAATTCTTGAGTTCAGATTGCCGTGCCCACTGCCAGGCATGCCTGCCAGCATGCACGCGCAGAGACAAAAACATTGAGCGGATCCGTCGCGGACTCGTTCAACCCTGTCTCATGGCCGTTATTGTATAAACGGTTGACACAGACCTTTATAATAGAACAACCCTTATTCAGTTTATGTATGTTCTGCACCACTATTAAAACAGGTTCAGCTGCCATGCTGTTGCAGAACTGAGCCTGCATGCTGAAGAGGAAATCGTGCTGCACCGCAAAGTTCAGCAGCTTCTTCGCTCTGCACGTGTCCGCCAGAGTGCCGAGGAGGTCGTTCCTCCGAGCTGCTACGTGTTCCTGGTTAGCCGACACCAGATTCGCCACCTCCTTGACAGAGTGCTTCTCACCGGAGCCGATGTTGATAGAGGTCCCATGAACGTCACCCTGATAACCCAGTATCAAAGCTCGTGCGACGTCTTTCACATGAACAAAATCGCGAAAATTTCGTCCGTCACCTTCTATCACAAGGGGCAGTCCTTTCTTCAGGCGGTCGATAAATTTCCCAGTTACGATGGCATATGCACCATGGGCAGGATTCCGTGGTCCATAGACCATGAAGAAGCGGAGGGACAACGTCGGCAGCTTGTAAAGCTCATCGTTGGTAAGCATGACCAGCTCGCCCATATACTTTGAAGCTGCATATGGGGAGGTAGGCATGAATGGGTCCGTCTCTGCAAACGGCACGCCCTGGTTGCCGTAGTATGTGGAAGATGCCGCATATACGACTTTGCGCACCATCATCGTTTCGTTAGCTGCCTGGCGATGTGACAGTCTACGCAAGTTCAGGCTTGCGAGCCGGCATGTTTGCAACAACTGTTATGTAAAACATGTACACTACGCATTGGCAGCCACTGAGCTCGACTGCTTCGGGAGATTCGTTCTCGCCTCGAGTACCCGGCTTGTTCCAACGGAGTTGCGCTCGACGTTGAAGGTTCCCATAGCAGGGTTCCTAGGTGCACTGGGCCACTGAACCCCGGAGCTAAAAAGCTTCAACCACTCTGCGACTGTTGATTCAGCACAGAGTCTTCAAAGATGGCAGGACCTTGCTGGCTGCACCCAGGTGGAAAACACCACGCACATCCACCATGGCTCTCCTGCCAATTTCACACTTTTGCTGGTTTTGCGCTAGATCAACTCTCTAAACACTGCAATCATGCCGATTGCCCGGCAGAAGCATCGACAACTGCAAACTGGTTTTTCAAGCTCTCGCCGCACCTTAGAGCCTCGATGTCGAGGATGTCTCCCAAAACAAACTGGAGGCGTGGATGGCGGAGGTTCAGAAATTGGAGGTTTCCAGTTTCTAGGTTGTCGAAGACACGCACGCGGTATCCCAGCTCCAGTAGCTGCTCGACAAGGTGGCTTCCGATGAAGCCTGCAGTTCACACGAGTTAGATGCATTTCCAGAGGCCTGAATCCTTCGGCGATACAGCGGACACAGTACTGAGGCTGGGAGCCGGATCCACCGGTCACTAGCACCAGCTCCCCGTTCGCAGGTTGCGGAGTACCAAGTTTGGCATCCACGCGGAGCGAGGCACAGGGATCGACCCCAAGTTTGGCATCGCTCTGCACTGGGAAGAGATACCCTGGCCTGAGAACTCATCCCAATCTCGGTTTCTCCACTGACTTATTCTCACAGAAATCGAAAATCTTAAACTGGTTCCAGGAGGGCGAGGCACTGAAAATCTGGAAGCCTCCCGCTCCCCAGGACCTTGGAAACCACAAACATCGGCAACCAACTATCACAATGTAGGAACCTGATTAAGAAACCGTGGGCATTTATTAGGGTTCCTTATATGAGTCCTACTAAGTTAGAGGACCAGGGTTTCTTTATCAGGTTCCTACATTGAAGCCTACAGGAGTCAGTCGAACCTGCCTAAACACAAAAAATTAAAATCCAACATGCAAAGCACCATGAGCATCACCCACAGCCCGGCCAGCGCGATGCCGAAGACCCACTTCCAAGAACCTGCGTGCACCTGAGATGCTGTCGCTATACTTCTGCTGCAGCTGCCGCCTCTACCACCTATGGCGACCTACCTTCGGCTACTAACTTGACTACGACTATGACTACCACTACCACTTCTACTACTACGACGACAACAACAACAACAACTACTACTACTACTACTACCACCACCCACGTACATACTGCTGCTACTACAAACATTACCACCACTGCGACGACTATTACTCCTACTCTTACTCCTCTTCCTACTGCTCCAATCCGTCTATGTCCGCCTAACTGCCACTAATGCGGATAAGCTGCTAAAGTCCGCGCTGACCATGGGCCTTGCGGCCCTCCTCTTGGCAGCCTAAGCATGCTCGACGAGTGCTTGTTACAAAAGCGTTGGAGTTGCTTCCGACTATACTATCATCCAAACCATCGGCACTCAATCCATTGTCTGGTGGCCACTTTTATGCTGATGCCAGGTCAGGTATAGTACCCAAATGCATCTACGATCACTACATGTAGCTGGGGCTGCATGGCTAACTCTCTTCGCCTCGTCTGCCTGGACCCCGCTAGCCAGGCCGCTCAGATTCATGGAGCTTTTGCAGTCCCGGCGTCAACAAAGCAATGCACAGAAGATTCTCACTGGGCTGAGTTCTGGTAATATCATACTTATTCATGCGTCAATCATAAGCCAGCATATCCAGCATCATCATCGCAGCAGATACGGCACCACGAAACTGGATTTTTTGTGTAGTCTGGCCGTTCCCCACACTAGCATGTCTGTACAGATTGTAGACGCGTGTCATTCCCCGCCTGTGTTGGTCGCAGCCGGAGCTGCATGGCGGCGACTTTCCCACGACTCCTGCACATCCTCCAGCGCATGCAGTGGCAGCATGTTGATGTCGGATTCTACCGGTTAGAGTGTACATCGTATGTGCACCGGTAAGCGGTGAGTTATGCCAAGCGAATCTGTACTCTGTTTTGGCTGTTGGACATCCAAAACACACGCAATCATCTAGGAGAGGTGCTGAGCGGATAAAAGGCAGGAGAACTTGGATCACTCTTGCCACCCTCCTTTCGGGCTCTTTGCCGGCTCCGTAGTCGGCGGCCCTGGCCCAGCGGGCCTATCTGAAGGCATGGCATGTCGGCGGCGACATATGCCGGAGACGTGCATTCACTGTAGTGCAGCTTCTACTTGTATGAGAATGAATGATGGAGTTGCAGAAAAAGCATGCTGCACGTCACGCTTGCACCTGACCATCTTGCCGTCCCAACTTCCAACTATTCAGTTCTGCCGCGGTCCTCTGCGTGTGAATTGTCTCCTTGACTACATCACGTACCAGTTCTGCCCCCCGCTTGTCATGTGCATGAGCCATGTGTACTGGAGCCGTGGCAAAGTACGAATATCGAACAGATGCCAGATGGAACCAAACGTTCTGCCCTTTTCGTCCCTCTCACACATCTAAAAAGGTAAAGATACTCATCGGCATTGTAATTCCTAGATAGGAAAAGTCAGAGCTCGGAACAGCAACTTGGACTTAGCCTCTTAACTTCCACAGCTGTTTGACCCCGGGGCTCCGCACCTCTGCCGTCGCCGGAATGAGGAGAGCATTCCTCACATGCCGCTGCTGGCCAGCTCCGCTTGCTACAAGTATTTACCCTGAACACCCGAACAAGGCAAGTTCAAGGTCCTGAAACTTCCAACTTCCAAGTTGTGCGTTCTCTGACCTTGTGGATATGTATAAGTATAAGGCGTGTATAGGTATCGACTGTTGCCCCGGTCTCTACCAGATTGCGGCATCAACAGCAGGCTCTCGGCTGCGTCGTTGCGCAGCCCCCTGCCCAAACCCTTGCATTATCTGCAACTTCAAGGAGTTCGGACAAGATGTCACACTTCTAAACCTCCACATTCAGGTTCAAATATAGCCAAGGATCAAAGGGCCATACAGCATGTTGGGGTATGCCTCAAAGTGCCATCCATCCTGCTCGTCTGCGTACCTGCGAAAAACTTTTGCACATGATGCGAATCTCATGGCGCTCAGTGGAAGTACCAACTTCAACTTGCTGCTCCGATCTCAGCGTCTATACAGCGGCAAGTGACCTCTTTAGTGAGATAGCTCCGGTGATGCTATGCCAGGTTTGTTTACTCAAGCCGCTTCAAGAGGCAACGTGGTTCCTATTGCTTGACGAAGAGCATGTCGGACAGAATCCCACACGCCATGTCTTGCAGAGCACTCCTAGCGCTCACGGCCGAGCTATGCTGCGTTTGGCTTCTAAAGCCCGGCCCTCTGAGATGGGCACACAGGGCCCAGGATGTCAAGGCCTTCTGAAGGTGCAGCGGCGCCGCCCTTTCGGTTGGGTTTGGGCTCCAGATTCAGTTGGCTTCGGGCTTCTCAGTGGGGGTGCCGCGGGATTCAGGTTCCAGTGCTCGCAGTTGCTTGGGGCTGAAGCATTTCAAGTTCCTGGCACTAGCATCTCTGCTCTGCTGCTGCATGGTTCACTTCTTCCAGCAAGCGCGACTTTAGGCGACTTCCTTCCGCGCTCACAACTAGCCGTGCCACTGTCGGTGTCATCTTCATTCAGGTCATGTCCGCCTCGTCGAAGAAAGGATCTCCATCCTTCAGCTCGGACGAGGCCAAGACCTCAGGGCCGTTCCGATGGGCCTGGTTCGGTGTATGGAGCTGTTTCATTCGTTGCTTTTGGAGCCCGTGTATGCTCATTCTCGACCACTCCAATGAGTCTCTTCGGCCAGTGAAGCTACATGCCCCGTCTGCGACATGGTTTCGGTTTCCACCGAGATGCTACGGTGACAGTGAAGTGGCAGACAGAACTATGATCGTGTGAACTCCGCCCAAACCTTGGCTGGGTTGACTCCCCAAGTTTTCCGGGAGCAGATCAACAATGCTGCGCAAACACCGCTGCGCAGCATGAGGCTGGTGTAGTACGGATTGTGCATGCCATCGGTGCAGCTACTTAGCGGACCGCCATGCGATCTTCGTGCGTCGGTGATATGTCGCAAAAAGGCGAAACGATTGTCACCCCGTGCAGGTCAAATTTTGGTATCGACGATGATGTTGCTGATTGGCGTGCTTCGCACAAAGCCCTCTTTCGACTTCTCTTGTGATTGATGGCCACTTGCAATGAACCTTCGTGAGCGGCTTTCATTTATGCAACCTCCGCTTCGAACGCATCTCAGTAGCGCACGTACGTCTTGTTCGTCTGCAAGACTACCTGGCAGCAACCGCAATGCCAAACAGCAAAGCCAGCCCAACGTGACGTAGGTGCTTGATAGGTCCACCCACACGTGTACCTCTCATCCAGGCTGCGGATGGCTGCCGACTGCGGTTCTCATTCTGCAAAACTGCTGCGCAGCCCTTGCGCGCATGGCTTTCTCACTCGCTAAGTGCTGGTGGAAACCAGAGGTCCGTTTCGGGCATGCAGCAAGCCTCTTTCTCGAGCAGCGCATAGTGGAATCCGTCGTCCGTGGTGACGGCACCGGCCTCTCAAGAAAGCGAAGTCACTTCTTGAGTTAGGGTTCTTCAGCTTTATAATTATTGCAATTATTGCAAAGCCGTCGCTCGGCTCAAGAACATGTACGTAGGTCCGACCGTAGGAGCTGCAGGATCTCGTCACAATGAGGCTACAAAGGCGAGAGGAAGTAGAGCATCCTCTGAAACCCTCTCGACGACCTTGAATGAATGGGTTTATGGTTAGCGATGATCCGCTCTTCAGGCATCGCCAGGGCATCGCAAGCTAATCTGGATGACCAACAGGCCAACAGGACGGGTTGACATGAATGAGTCGACGACCTGAGACTCGACTTGACATTCCACGCGCAATGAAAACGAAGTCAGTGATTCTCAACCTGACGACAGTTGTGCAGGGATGGGTTTCAATCAGAGCGCTTCTGAGCTGTCCGAGTGCCTGCCAAGGTTGCTTCTGGGCACAATCTGGCCTGCTGTGTCTCCAAGGTAGACACGGCCACCACAGCCAGGAGGTGAAGACCAGTGATTTCATCCTCATTTCGAGTGTTCACAGTCACAGCCAGTCTGAGCTGGTGCCGCTGCCGATCCGTCACTGCAATTCCGAAAGCTCTATGCCGCGTACCAACTCCAGAAGTTCAACGCTGTGCGCTGCATAAAGCGATTGGCCTCGATTCAGAGGCATTGAAGGCATGTCGGCAACCATTACTTTGCATTATTCCGCATCCCCCACTCCCCAATTCTGGGACGCGTAGGGCTTAGTTGCTCTGGCTCCAGCTGACATTCCGACCCAGGGCCTTGCACTCTCTCGTTTTTTCGTCTCTTTGGTAGTCATGTCCTTTCTTTGCCGATCTGCTCTTCCTACTATACGGTAACCCCTAACGCTGCAACCGCTACAGCGACGGCCACGGCGGCCACCACAACGACTTCGCAGTGTGATTTCTGAGGGCACAAATCTTGCTCATGGTTCTTATGACTGCCAACTGTGGGGCGCACTCCCCCGCAATGCCAGTCGGCCCAATGCCGTCACCGCAGTTGGCTGCCGGGGCACCTGCTTCTGGGATCGTAATACCCATCTGGTCTGAAATGACAGCATTATAGCGGGAGGCGTGGGCCTGTCGGCAAAGAGTACGTCGCGGTGTGTCATACTACTACAACTTCTACTTCTACTTCTAGTACTACTAATACTAGTACGACTAGTACTACTAGCACTACTACCACGACGACGACGACTACTACTACTGCTACTGCTACTGCTACTGCTACTGCTACTGCTACTGCTACTGCTACTGCTACTGCTACTGCTACTGCTACTGCTACGACTACTACGACTACTACTACTCCTACTACTGCTACTACTGTAGGGAAGAGGTAGTGGCAGACCAAAAGCAGGAGTGGCTGTCGTAGTGGCATCTGTAGCAGCAGCGGCATTGCTGGTAGTTGGGAGCGAAGAAGGGCGTGGCCCGCAGTATGTGAGCCGACAGCATCATAACACGAACGTACTCTGTGTATGTGTGTTTGTCATGGCATTTATCTCGAATGGGTTAAGGCTTTCTCGTTTCGTAGCAAGTTTCCATGATCTTGACAAGAAGCGACTATCTCCACACCATCAGCATTCCAGCTCTCGAGACTGTTGCGAGGAGAGAAGCACAAGTAGCTTCTGAAACCTCGCTTCTTCAGGACCTTCGCGTTCTTATGCTCATACTCATACAGACCAGAACGAAAAAGGTACACAGTGGCATACGCGTCAGGGAGCTTTGGAGATCTTTGGAGTTCGGAGACTGGATCATGTTCACACACTGCCACACCCAACTTGTCCGTAGTGGTCCACAAAACAAACTCCTGCTAGGCATTGCTCGTTGCTCGAACTTTGGAAGCCGATGAAACTAATTAAACACACTAATCAAGTGACATTTCAAACGAGGCCCGGGCAAAGGCCAAGCCAATCAAGCCGGTGAAGTCCGTCCGCGTTCTAGTTGGAGTTGGCGATGGTTCGCAACTGCCTGGCATGCAGCACATGGCTAGGCGGACAGTACTGTAGTGTGCACTCACGGGACGAAAGCTGGACCGAAACGCGGCGGTTGGACGTGCGTTGTAGTGAAACATCACCTCAGCTTGCAGAAGCGCGATGCTGCGTATTGGAGTGCTGGATGATGAGTGCAGTCGAGGGAACTGGATCGTACTGCTTCAGGAGCGGTCCTTACCGTGAGCATGAATGTCACACCCGGCTGGACCGCAGGACTGAGCGCAAACAAGGCAAGCACACTCCAAACAGTGGCAGACTGGCAGAAGCAGCCGTGGCGGTAGTTGCGCTCTAGCAGGAATGGTAGCGGCAGCAGGTACTCTCGCTGTACCTCAGACTGATAATCATAGTAGCCGTGGCAGCAGAAACAGCAGCAGCGGTTTTCGTCGTAGTGCCTGCGATAAGGTTTACTTGTGAAACAACTGCCAACCTACATGGTCCATCATGCAACCCTTGCACAAAGTTTATGGGACTGCACTCATCTTCAGACATTCTATCCACCGAGACTCGGGAAGTCGCGAGAAGGCCTGTGACTGCCGTACCTTTCGCTGGCCGCACCTCAGGCAAGCATCCTTCCCACGACGGGATGATCGTAAGTGCAATCACGCATCTGCATGTGCTCATTTGCAGGTCCAGCTCGTGCCATGGTGTAGATTTGCGTACAGGGTTCCCATGAAGCGAACAACGAAACACAAGTACTTATTGGTGCGTGTCCGCACAGCAGGCGAAGAGTTCGGGTTGTTTCTGCAGAGCAAGCCTTTCGCACTAGACAGTTACCGGATGCCGTCTCATGCACTCGGGTGTCATTCTGCATCCGAGGCCTCCAGGTTGTCAAACTGACATCTGTGGTAGCCGCAGCCAAGGCCAACCTGTTAGCAAAACTCGTTCGGGATGGTTGGAAAATCTTCAGGCGGGTCGACATGCTGCTCGGAGCTGAAAAACCGACCCGGAAATGCATGGAAGCAGTCACAGCCTGTCCAAGTGGATAGCTCACGTCGACGATCTCAGCCACTTTCTCGCCTTCGACCTGGGCAGAAAAGCTTAAGCTGGAAGTCGGATTCAAAGGTCCTAAGTCCTAAGCTTTAAGCGCTGGAGACTACCATTGGGCTAGAAGCTCCTATGTCCTATGTTCGTTGAGCACCAGTAACGACAGCATGGACTCAAGCAACCACGCAGTTGACAACTTATGCCCCATACCGGCCCCATACCCCAAAATCGGCCGAAGCGGTCAGAGGTTCCCACAGGGATTCCCTTCCTGACCCACCCCAGCTTAGCCCACCGACCCGCTCGTCCATCTCCAAAAAAATTGGATTTCGGGGTGGCAGCCCTTACGTCGTACAGATTCTGGCGGACACTTGCCACCTACTACCACTACTACTTGCTCCTACTACTAGGATTTGGCCGCATCATTTGGCCACATGTATTTGCGAGCATGTTCTTTTTTCGCCACAAATAGCAATCTGTTCTCCCAGTGTGGTGCACACTACGAGGTTCTGACGGTCAGACTGTCGCAGAAATTGTGAGAGCGGGATGCGGCTCTGGCTGTCGATATTTTGCGCTCAAGTCTTACCATTTACACAGGATCCGCTGGAAACCGTCTCCCGGGGTGCGATATTCATCGTAAATTCCAGTACATGGACCACTCTTGACGTCGAACGCCTTGAGTCGCAAATGCAGGGCTGCCGTACACAAAATCGAGCTTCGTTGGGGCAAGTCTCAACTGCGCAGGTACCATGTCGAGCAATCAGTCGGACTCGACGGGTGAAGGGGCTTCGCCAAGACTTGGAAACAAGCGTTTGAACGACAGAAACATGAACTTATCCTGGAATGCAGCACAGAATAGTATAAGTCATGCCATCTGCTGTTTCTTGCACAAACTTGATATGACAGAATGTGATATACCAGATGCTAGTGTAGCATAACACATGACAACTTTTCGCCAGGCTGTGTTTAGAACACAGCGCGGGAGTGCAGGCCGACGGTAAGTGCTCACAGCAGCCACCGGAGTTTGACACTTCTGTGCGACGCTGAGAGAGAGAGAGAGAGAGAGAGAGAGAAAAAAAAACAACTTTTCACCATATTTAACACAACACCTCACATGCTGTAACACAGCACCATATGTTGCCGCCGGAACCATGCAACATAGCACGACATACCATAACGTACCACAACACCGCAGACACAATACGATGTAATCCAACATTTTGCATCCAGGCTCGAATCCTGCATCAGCCGGCGCCGGGGATCGGCAAATGCAGCAACCAAAATAACAACATTGGCATGATATGACATGAATACTCCATACATACATACATACATATATACATACATACATCCAGGACTGCAAGGGACCAACACCAAGTCCTCTGAGCTCACGGCGAGCGCGGAGATCCTTGCTTTGTAGGCCTTCGAGGCATCTCTGCCAAAGGCGGAACAGCTGCATCTATTCAGAGTTCGACTTTCGTTTCATGTGGTTTCGGCCTACATGCGATACTGCAGCCTGTCGGAACGGCGACCAATGCCCATTTGGTCGCTCTGATTCAGCAGCCACGGAGCAAAGCAGCTGCTTCTCCATGGTAGCCAATATAAAGTTTAGCATCAAGACTTGCCCCGAGGGCACCCGATATGCCATCCAAGGCTTGGCCATCTGTACATCACTCGTGGCCCGGAGTGTAGCTTGATGCCGTCTACATGTTGCGACACGCCGGGTCATGCCTTCAACTGAAAGAAGGCACCGGCCAGGCCTCCATTCCAAGCTGCAGCCAGCCTCCATGAACAACCTTCTGGGAGGCCTCCGAGCCTGGAGACTGGGCATTGTCGAAGAGATGCTGACAGGTGGCGGGCTTTCCGGGTCCATGTCTTCTGAAGCGAGCACTCAGCCACTGCCACTCCAAAGACTGGCTCGCCTAGATTGACTGCCTCTGCAACGCCACACAACTTCTCTCGTTAGTGACGAACTGCAGAACCCGACGGGGACACCCCTTAGGCCAGAAGTGAGGGATGTCGGGCTCAACGCCCCCAGGTTCGACGGACGTGTAGTCAGAACACAAGGTCCTAAGGAAGGCCCCATTTGCCCCAGCCCATCGATATGGTAAGACTGGGCAGCCAAGCTTCCGCCAAAGCTCACTTAGACAAGGCTCCCCAGCGTAAGGACGAGATTCCTGAGATCCAGGCTGAGGTATCCAGAAGCCACGATCTTCGAGGAGATCGTCAGCAGCCAGGCCGGGCGCGAGGAGGTGTTGTTCTGGATGATCTGGGAGGCAGCAAGGGGCCCGCTTGCACCGAACGTGGGAGGGCACAGTGAAGGAGTGAACCAGTGGGGCATAAAGTGCATGAGCAGAAGTGGCTACCTCACGGAAGAAGTTTTGAAGTTGCAGCATGGGGCATAAGAGGTACTGGCAGTGGCCCTAGATAGTGCCAGTGCTCCTTGGTCCTATTTAGTTCTATTTTTTGAAGATCTTCAATCTCCCTCTCATTGATGGAGTTGGCGCCATTTCTTGGAATGCCAGGGCCCGCGCGCGGACGCAGTAGCCTTCAGTCCTTTGAACAAGGGTAACTAAAGTCTCGAACCTCGAGTCGCAACGTGACCCGACCGAGGCTTCGACTGACCTCCGGTAGCACCAAAGAAAGTGTAGCGAGCTGCCTGAGCTGCGACAAGGCAAACTTTAGCTAGGCTGAGGTGCAAATTGTGGTCTCGCCATTGCCACTACGAACGACAGGGGCCTTCTCAATTAGTCGCAGCCCACTAGCCCTGTCAATCGTGCCATCCAACAAGCCGTATGTGCAGACTGTCATTTCAGAGCATGGGCGACCCGAGGTCAGAAAATCCGAGGCTGATGCCCGGAGGCAAAGGACCACTTGCCTTGGCGTGGGCACCTTGCAGCTTCAGTCGCATGTGGCTGCTGCTCTTGCCACTGCCTGTTCGGGCAGTGGGCGTGGGAATCAGTACAATGCTCCATTGAGAGGTCGAATGCTTTGAGCACACACAAACATCAGTCAATGTCATGGACCTGTTTTTGACTCTTGCACAGACACAGCTACGCAAGGCGGATGTCTGTGCTGGCCTGCGGGGAAAGTGTTTCTTGGACCTTCCTCGTGCCTCCCTACTCGACTGTGGCTACCTACAGTGCAACACCAACCTGCCAGCAAACTTTCTAAAGCCGGTGCTATCCTAAGCCTTCATACATCCCACCAACACGGTACACCGAAGCAAGCTTTGCACCTCGTCTGGCGTCGTGGACTCAACAGACGGCTCCAGAACTCCCGGCCCACCCAAAGACGCGAAGTTGCTCCCCATGGCATGGCCTTCGTAGGATTCGAGATGGACGCTGTGGTGCAGTCAGCTACAGTTGAGCGTGAGCGGAATTGCCGAGGGCCCAGCTCATCAAAGATCAAAGCACCCCGCAGCGACTATAGAGCTTACAAAGAGACAGAATACAACTAGCCGCGGCTTGGCAATGGCTTTCGTTCTTTATCGGCTGCTGTGTAGAGTATGAACCACCCGAACAGGAACGGCCGAACACACACACACACACACACAGCCCGAAGCCCACTCAAGCTTCAACCCTGAAAAAAACAAGCAAAGTGCAAGCCGTGCCAGCGAGCTTCCGAAACACGATAGCATCAACTCTAAAATTCAGATGTCTAAGCGAGTCTTACCCCAAGTGGTCAGCCAAGTGGCCGAAAGGCACGAGCGGTGTGAAGTGGCCGAATGGCAATAACAGGCCAGGTGCAGGACTTGAAAAGCCTCGGGGGCCGCTTCATCGCTTCCTTGTCTACTTATTCCTAACAATTTCTTTCGCTGTCACTGGGACACTTTCCGTTGACACAATGGGAACACTTCCAATACCCACTATGTCCATTGCTTCCTTGGCTACGAATGCCAGCTGTCATCACTCCGGCAACGACTGGCAACTGGTATTACTACCCTCCTACAAGCTCGAATTACTGCGAGAGTGAGTAGTGTTTCGAACATCGGCTACTTACTGGGACTTGCTGCTACGCATGCTCTTCCTCTTACTGGTGAGAATACTACTATTGCCACTGCTGAAAACCATGCTACTTTTGAACCCAGGCTCTATGCCAGCATCAGCTGGGAATCGGCGACACGCTACTATGTCTACTACTACTACTACTACTACTACTACTACTACTACTACTACTACTACAACTACTACAACTACTACAACTACTACAACTACTACAACTACTACAACTACTGCTACTACTACTACTACTCCTGCTGCTGCTGCTATCGCTACCTACTACGTACTACCTACTACCACTTCTACCACTTCTACTACTAGTACCACTACTACTAGTACCACTACTACTACTACTACTACTACTACTACTACTACTTCTTCTTCTTCTAGCTGGGGTGCTGCTGCTGCTGCCGCTGCTCCTACTACCACTGCTCGTACTCCTACTCCTACTCCTAGTCCTAGTCCTAGTCCTACTACTACTACTACTACTACTACTACTACTACTACTACTACTACTACTACTACTACCGCGGCCGCGACCCCTACCGCTACTACCGCTACCTCTGCCGCCACTACCGCTACCACTACTACCACTACCACTACCACTACCACTACCCCTACCCGTACCCCTACCCCTACCCCTACCACTACCACGACCACGACCACGACCACGACCACGACCACAACCACTGCGACTGCGACTGCGACTGCGACTGCGACTGCTACTGCTACTGCTACTGCTACTGCTACTGCTACTGCTACTACTACTACTACTACTACTACTACTACTACTACTACTACTACCACTACGACTACGACGACGACGACGACGACGACTACTACTACTACTTCTCCCGCTCCTGCTCCTAGTAACCAGTAGTACTATGTACACAACTATACTACTTGTACGTACAGTAGTACCAGTACTGCTACTGCAAAGACAAACTAGTACAGCCACTCCTACTCATACTCCTCCTACTACTTACTACTACTACTCCTGCTGCTGCTGCTACTACTACTACTACTACCACCACTACCACCGCCAATACCAGTTCACAGGAAGGCAGAGTGCGCAGCAACGCGCAAGGTAAAACTGTGGATGTAGACGTAGGTTGATGATGACACACCCGACTGTCACAAGGCTGCGAAATGCCTGCGCGTGGTAGAAGGTTGGAGGCTGGAAGACAGCAAGGGAAAGTCTACACTTCAAGTTTGCGCTCGCTCCAGCGCCCGCACTGTCCCGTCTGTCGCCAGCGGGCTAGTCTTCACCACCGGAAGAAGCCCGAAAAGTTGCAGAAGCAGTAGCAAAGCAGGCCGGATACTCAGGGCAGTCTGTCTCAGTTCGCACCGGACTTCGAGCAAGAGCAACTTCTTCTACCATACCGTTTAGAGCATGTTGTTGCCATCATGGCTTTAACATCAGCAGCAGATATTGCAACATTGAGTCTGTCGGCGATGTAGCGGATAAAGCAACATAAGCATCAGAGTCTTTGATGAGCGAAAAACAAGACCAAAGGGCAGACGGACTCCGTGCATCGTGCCGCTACAAGATAATGTGGTGCTGCACAGGTCGATCTCAAAATGAACTCTCCGCGACGCACGATGCTCCGTGCCACAGATGTTGCTGGCTGGCTTGCAGGCAAGTCTAAGGTTCCAACGCGCGGCCACATTGACAGCAAGGTCGGTCCAATTGACGTCTCGGTCGGAGTGGCGATGCTGCGAGTGCTAGGCAAGGCTAGATCAATTTCGCAAGGCTGTTTGTAAGGCTCCAACCTCCAAGCAGGGTCATTGGCTGAGTTGCAGGTCCCCAGCCGATCGGGGGTGTGGTGACCTTCACTTCATGCTGGCTTGGGCTCAGGACGCAAGCAGTGATAGTGCATGCGTCCCAAAAGCAACCGCCTACCAACAATCCCTGGAACCACATACCCTGCGTTCCACATCCTTCCGTACTCAATGCTGAAGCCGTCTTCCGGGACATCTTTCGACGCGTATGCGCATGCATCGTGTGTTGTGTGGCAATCTTCAAGTTGGAGGGTGCAACTGTCATCGGACCGGAATAAAACGTACGGAAGCACCGTCGCTTCGGGCAGATCAACACGACAAGAAACGTTAAGTTACCTAGATTCCTGGCAGCAATGCAATAAGTACGGGAAGAACCAGTTACCTCTTTTCTCTCTATCTCTCTCATTTCTTCTCCTGATGGGCTTTACAGTAACTTTCTCTCTTTCGGTTCGAGGGAAACAGGCAAGGCCGTGGTGTGTAACTGCGTACCTGATGGCCTGCATAGGTTCTGTGCGACAATGCACGACTTAATTCTCTCCCCCCTCAAATCCGCTCCCGTAACTATCTCCGCTGTCTCCCTCCCAATTGTTTCATGCACACCTCTGATGTGCGTTTTGAACCTGGTCGAAGTGAATGGGTGTACGGCGAATTCGGAAACGCTCACAACCGAGATGAGTTCGCCAGAACCTCGGCGCTTGGAACCTTAAAGGCCAGTCGTGGCCCAACCTTGGTCGGGTGCAAGTGATATATATATATATATATATATATACACATATATTATTACTATCTGTTACTATCTTCTTCCGCAGGGCATAGGGACGAGTTAGGTCCCCCAACCACCAGGGCCCGGCCACCGGGCTCCCCTAGTTGCCTAGGCGTTGGGAGGATGTGATATTATCCTGGTTTGAGGAACTTGGTATTACTAAGCTGGCAGCTTATATATTTCAGCCACAGGGCATACTGTACGGGACTGGTAAAGTCCCCTGCACCACCAGGGCCCCCCAATTTCTGGGGCCTGTTCGGACGTAAGAACACTGTGAGTTTGATCACTTGTTAAGCCAGAAGTTCCCTTTCCCTTGTTACACACACACACACACACACTCCCACTCTCTCTCGTCTACCCTTTTCCTCGACCCTCCTGGACCCGTGACCCTGTTGCAGCGCAGCCTGTTGTTCCAGGACGCGTGTCGTTTGAAGATCGCTCCTAGCAGCAACTTGTAACCCTGCGCACCTTGAAGCAAATTAGGAGTCACGTCGATTCGCCCGTTTGTGGAGGCCCTTGCTACGCTGCAGCTGCTTGGGCTGAACCATTGCTTGGTCGCGGCTTGTGTGCCTCGCGGCTTCAGTTGCTGCACATCATAAAACAGGACTGAGCCGTGTTGATTATCTGCTATCCTGTCATCCTGTAGTACTGTGCCCGGTGGCCACATGAGGATTCGATAAAGCGCAGCGTCTTGCTGTACATCGACACGCTCTGCTACTATTATGCGCACAGTGGTTCTGGGGTTGCGCTTCCATTTTTTCACACTGACGAACCGTCAGGTATGTTGCACAAACAGAATACGAAACCAAGACATGCACAGCAGGGACATCGCGGCTTGCTGGATTGTTGCACGCGTTGCTTCAGCTGGCAGTTGCTGTTGCTGAGCGTGCTCCTGGGGTGGTGAGGTACTGCTCTTGCGACATTCCCACTCAAGTTGATGTCACGTGTCCTGTCAGCAGCGGCGGCTGGGGCCTGTCGCGACACATGCAAGATACTAGTACGAGGCTGACTCTGTATGCGCTGCAAGAAGACGTTCAAGTCGTTGTCCCTATACACGTTCAGAGTTTTGGCCGCTCCTCTGCTTGGAACAGGCGAGCTCGAGTCAAATTGAAAGGTGCTGCAGTATGGGATGCTGATGGTTTAAGCTCGTGAGTCCTTTGCTTGGATTCGCTTGCAGATCTGATGTGAAACTCCGCATGGCAGCCCAGCGTGAGCATGGCATCTTGCGATCTTGAATGCTGAGCCAAGGATACAAGCACAAACAGAGAGCCGGAAGAAGAGCGAGAGAGAGAGAGAGAGAGAGACAGAGAGAGACTACGGTCAGAAAGAGAGCTGCCCTCAGACCCGCTGATCCTTGGGACCACATGTCGCCGCCTCGACCACCTCGAACGCACCACCCTGGTCTGCAAAGAAGGCGGCAGCTCGGTACAGGGGCTGCGACTCAAAGTCCTGGATCTTTTTTGGGAACGTGTCGGGCACAGTGTCTACTGTGGGCATCTGCTTCGCTGTGTAGACTGAGCATAGAGATACCTGCGCAGCGTGCCAAAGGAGTCCGAAAAATCCAAACTCGAGGAAACTCACCTGCCGTGCTAAGCCTTGCCCTTGCAGGATCCCGAGAGCCATCTTCTGCTCTTTCAATTACGGGCCTATCGTGACGAACGCATCGATAATTTGTCAGAGCTCTCTATAAGTTGGTTGAGTCTCAGTGATGCGCTCCCTCCATCGCAACCTCTGCAAAAGATAGGCGAACGATCAAAGGCTACGATCAGCAGGAGTATGGAATCTCGGTCTATGAAGGATCTGCTTAGCAAACATCCCGTCGAAGAAGCTCATGTGCCTTCGAGTACCGCGTGTCACTGCGCCATCATTTCTCTATAGGGGTCGCTAAGACAGAGTAGAACAAGGGCCTCCCCAACGAATTAGTAGCTTTGCTTCTGCAGCTAGCCGCTAGCTGCTAGCCTTAGCCTGTTTGCCGCTCCATGCCTCGTGAAATGGAAAAGGGAAGGGCTGTTGTGGCGGCACCTGGCAGGGATGGAAGGGGCTCAGAAAGATTCCGCTGCAAGATTCAAACAGCAAAAGCAGGAGTTATGGCATGCAGGCCTGCGCCTGTAGCAAAGTCGCAGCTGCGGTGCGGTTTCCCTGCTTGGTGGCCTGAGCTTTTTCCGCGGTGCATCATTTCAGAGCACGGAGAGTTTCTGTGCTGTCGTTTTGCGAGTCTTGGCGACCAGTAAAGAATAATGATCGAACCGTGAGTGGTAGCACATGACGTAGCGTAGAGCGAGAACCAGAAGCTTCACACTAAGCTCTGTCAGTACATGCGTCCGACCATCTGACACGGAGTTCGCAAATCCCACGACCAGTATAAGGACCCCACAGTTCCGAGAGTACTGATGGTGATGATCGCGTCCACCGGCATGTCGATCCTCCAGAACAGTGCGCTAACCGTTCCAATCCTGTAGGTCATATCGGATCTCAGGCTTTACGAAGGCTCAACCAGCCACTTCTGAGTTACACCTGTGCTGCTAGACTGAGTCCGAATCTGCCAAAGTAGCACAGTCTGCCGTCCTCAAGAAGCCTTGCTCTGTCACTTGCGTATCAGGCAGTCGCTGAAACCTCAGGGCGTGACGATCTCAGGTTCGTGCCAGAGCAGTATAAAGCATGCTTGATGCTTATGTTGAAGCCGCAAACAGGCCACGAGGTCCCCGCCAGTGGCTGCTATTTGTTGCCCAGACCTGCAAGATTGACTGTTGCGGTGAAGTCCTTCAAGTTCTGCGTGAATATGTGCGATTTACACAGATCAAGCTGGCTCTGTGGTTGTGTGTTTGTGCATGTGTACTCTCAATGTATTCGTGTGTGTGTATATATATATAAATATATGTATAGACATATATTTTTGTGGAAGTCCTCCTTTAGAAAGATGTGCCCATGCCTGTTCCTTCATTCCTTCCTTCCGCTGGGGGAGAGTCTGTGCGCGGACCCGGGCCCAGGCCCCCCATTGCCCCTTTTTCGGCGGAATGGGGCTTTGGGGTCAGAGGATGGGTTTGCTTACGAAGGTTGGTTTGGCTCGTAGAGTCAGTCCGTCGAATAATTATCCCCCAACCCTTAACACTAGCCCGTGTCCCGGCCTCGTCTCCGCGCCCTCTACGGCTATATCCTTAGACCCTCGACGGGCATGACCCCTCCATTCAGACCTACGGCTGGCCTGTTCCCCCTTTTGCAACACACTTGTTAGTTCGGGACTGCCGCCCGGGGAACATGAGGAAGCAACACAGTAGCATTGAAACATGCATTTCACAGTGCAGTCGGCCCCCCATGCGTGCTAGCCGTAGTAGCTCTTGGTGTTTGCTGTGAAGGGTAGGACCTCAAGGCAACAATGACACATAGGCATCACAGTTCGGTCGGTCCCCCCTTTCTCGCAAACTTCACTGTCTAGTGTACTGGTAATTTTATGTGGGGTTTCCCAGTGTGGCAACAAGGTAGCAGGACAGATGCAACTTATCATGACTGTTTCCCCCTCAACTGTGTGGCAGGAGGAGGTCACGCATCTCATCCCACCATCTGAGGGTGTTCCAGTCGAGCTCTCCCAGCAGTGCTGGTAAAATGGCCTTGTCCACCATGGCAGCTGCATTTCACAGCTTTTCCCCAGCACTTTGAACTTGAGGCTCTCTCTCGCATACTCGGGGATTGAACTTCCGCGAGTTCCATGTTGTTAGAATACACCATGGTGCTTATGTCGTGTTCGAGCTGCTATAAGCAATATACAACTCATCTGAAGTCTAACATTGACTAACATTTGCTTCGCAGGTCATGCTGCTAAACCACTCTAGAAACTCATATGTAATACGTGTTCAGTTAAGACTCGGTCACATATACTAAATGACCACCAAATCTATGTCATCACATAGTGTAAGCTTCATAGCCCTCTCGGAGCCAAGTAAAGTCTCAAATTCTTTACATTATGCTTGGCAATGTCATGTGGTTTGCCCCTCAGTTTTTCGATTACTCCTCTGGCGGTGGTTGAGTTGTGTGTGTGTGTGTTCTGGTTGGTAAAAGTTTGTCGTTAACTGAAAACCTACTCTTCGGCTGACATATGCTCAGCGCATACGGTTCACAATTTTTTAAGCATGTGCTTCAAGCCTGCAGATTACGTCAAAGCTAAGCCTGATATACATACCCATACATTATTTGATGCTCGACGTTGACATATAGCTATGTCTCGTTCCCGTTCCAATCGCAACGAGAAGCTCTTCGAACATATGCCCATCTAACATGCGATCTGAATACTAAACTACATCAATACTTCGCTACTATAATAGGCTAACAACAAACGGTTATTCATTCATGTTCGGTGACAAAACATTCCGAAGTGTCAAAGTATATGCGACTGGTTGTTTACGGTACTATTTATGGAAAAATAGGACATCACTTTTGCATGGTGTTTAACCTCGTTGTTATTGCTGTAACAACTGGTTATCTCAGTACGAACTGAGGATTAAATGCTTAAGAACATATGTTCTCGTGTGTTAATCTGAGCAGACTTAAATACGAGGCGAAACGCTACGAAGTTTTCAGCAAATACTGAGCCGATACTAACTTCATAATAACCCCACTAGAAGCAATAACACATGTATCCCATTTCATTACTGTTGGGAAATCCCATAGCAGGTACTGGTAATTCACACACTTGTGCAGTATTCAATTCTGAGGCCAAACACTGTGAAATATTCAACGAATACGAATGCAAAACTAAGCGCGTATTCACTCTAACAGAAGCAAAAGCACATGCATCGTAATTACTACCCGACTCCTGGATAACAGGAAATATACCGTATACCGGTAAATCTTGCATATGTGCGTCAGATGACATGAGAGCTAACAGAACAACAATCAATGTAGCTACGAAGCCGGAACCTGTTTTTTGCACTTTAGCATGGCGCGTATATACTGTAGACAACAGTAATAGGCAAGGAATTTAGCGGTATTTAAATGGTTCCCGGCTTCCATCCGCAACAACACAGGAAAACACGTTGCATGGACGAGGTTGGTCCTAGAGGAGGGGGGTACCCAAGTTGCATATATAGACATATGTATATATATATGTATACATTATAAATACATTTTTGTCACTCGTGCTCGACAGGTCAGACGAGGGTTTAGCAACTGAAGACACTACATAGAGCATGCCAGCCCTCATTGGGGCCAACTGTTCGACGTTAACAAAGTTTCGGCGATCCATTCCTTCAACCTGTAACCATTTCGTCCTCAAGTCCACAGCCATCCAGCACCATCAGCAGTCACGACAAGTTTGATGCCGCAACCAGAAAAACAAACACATACATGAGTACATGCGATGTTTCACCGTCGGTAGCTTATTTATCCCAGATGCTTCGTGCCTCAAGACTACGACCCCGAGCCGCAGCGGCCAGTTTGCCTTGGCACTGCTCCCATGCGCAAGCGAATGCTGAACAAAGATGTGGTTTTCCCCTAGATGCGACTCCACAGCCAGAGCAAGGCACTGAGACTTCGAGGTCTGCGTCTACAAGGGGTGTGAACTTCTTGCTCGGGGTTGTTTTGCTTTTGCCCCGAGTCTCTTGACTTTCTTTGCCGTCCATCCTGCACTTCCCGTGACCTCATCCCTGCTAAGCTTCACGATCTTTGAGGTCGGGTCTGCTGAGCTGAAGCTGGAGGCTCTGCGTTGCCTCTGCCTTGATGCTGTGCAAACCTCGAAGGAAGCACTGCAGCAACATGAGGCCTCTGTGACCGTGCTCTCCCGTCAGCTGCAGCTTCAGTTATGCAGCATGTCTTGGAGGCACAAACATAAGGCAGCCGCAACCGTCATTGTACATGCAGCTGCCTGGTCAATCTCACTCCGGCCAGATAGCTTTCGGACGGTTTCAGAATCGCAGAATGCCGAAATTCATGACAGATGCTGGCTTAAGGTGCAGTACTGCGTCACTACGTGAAGTCCACCACTATCAGCACGACCTCACCAACAGTCACAATAGAAGCGGCAGCAACGACAACGAATCCGACTCCGACGAGCGCCACCACCACCGCCGCCACCGCCACCGCCACCGCCACCGCCACCGCCCCCGCCCCCACCACCCCCACCCCCACCCCCACCCCCACCCCCACCCCCACCCCCACCCCCACCCCCACCCCCACCCCCACCCCCACCACCACCACCACCACCACCACCACCACCACCACCAACAAGAACAATAACAACAACAAGAGCAAGAACGGCAACAAGAAGAACAACAATAACGAAAAAACAAGAACAACAGCAGCAGCAACAACAACAACAACAACAACAACGACAACGACAACGACAACGACAACGACAACGACTCCTCCTCCTTCTCCTCACTCCTCCCCCAACTTCTGGAGAGGACGAGGAGGAGGAGTGGCAGTAGTAGTAGTAGTAGTAGTAGTAGTAGTAGTAGTAGTAGTAGTAGTAGTAGTAGTAGTAGTAGTTGTAGTAGTAGTAGTAGTAGTAGTAGTAGTAGTAGTACTGATAGTAGTAGTAGTAGTAGTAGTAGTAGTAGCAGCAGCAGGAGTAGTAGTAGTAGTAGTAGCAGCAGGAGTAGTAGTAGTAGTAGTAGTAGTAGTAGTAGTAGCAGTAGTCGTAGTAGTAGTAGTAGTAGCAGCAGCAGCAGGAGTAGTAGTAGTAGTAGTTGTTGTTGTAGTTGTTGTTGTAGTCTTGCCGTAAGCGTGCAGCAACTGCCGCACCAACGACAAGTCGGGCGAGACTTTGCAAGAACAAGACCGAGGGATCTAGACATTTTGATGGTGGCCTTGCAAGGTCTCGAGCACCACAGTGAAGTCTGCCAGGTCTGCACTGGCAATCGTAACGTAGGTCCCACCCTCCTGCATGGAGGCATCAGGCCATCTGGCGTTGTGTCGCATTGCACGGCCAGTCAGCGTTGAAAGAGCAAGTTGCAGCCATGCCGCAGAGCATGAGTTCAGCTCGTAAGTCGCGGGTCCCACAATGACCACCCAAGTAGCTGCACTAAGATTCCAGCGAGCTGACCCACCTTGCACCGAATCCCAACCATGCGAAGCCTACAACCCCAATCCCACGATGAAACAACCCTTTAGCGAACAGCTACCCCTAAGCCGGAGAAAGCCGTCCGGCAGGTTGCCAGCACCCTGACCAGCCGGCAGGTAGACCCAGCCTCGGTATCTCGACTGTTTAGAGGCAGTACGCAGAGGACTGAGACATAAACCCTGCACTCTCAAGTTCAAGGCATTCATGTTTCAATGCTCTCAGCGAAAAGAAACGCGCAAGCACCAATCGCTCTGTACAAGTGTGCCAACATCTGTACCCCTGTCCAGGAGGCTGCAAGCGTCGAAGCACAGTCTCAGCTCGAATATGCACAAGAGCCTCCTTTTCCCTCATACTCCTTCCACCGTACTCGCCGAGGCATTTAGTCTGGGCAGGGAGATCAAAACCTTAATTCTCGACCCCTCCAACGTGGCCAACACAAGCTAAAGAAGATAACTGAGGCTTGACTATATTCTTATATTTACATATGGCAGAGAAATTGGAATCCGAGGCCGTGTCATTGTGTTTGCCCAGACGACGTAGAATAGCAATTCACGTGTGCCTCCTGCCGCCTAACTTTGAAACGTGCTCCTCGACGCTGCCACTGATATCGGCCCTGCTTCCTTCCAAATGAAGTTCTTGGCTACGCGGAATGCCGCTCGTCGAGCAACCCGACCACACATCTTCCGTGCAGGCTTAGCGAAACTAGAACTTCTCATGCATTTTCCAATCCGGAGGTGCGTCATGTTCCACACCCAAGCAAGCGACGTGTGCCGCAACGTCACACAACGTCACGCTACAATAGGAGGCATGCACCAAACGGGCTGTCTCAGGCACGCTCAATGCTGCGCAGAAACGTTTGCAGCTCCGAAGAGAATCACAGTTTGATATCTGAGCCAAGGGCCGATTTTGGTGAACTGCGTGGTGTGAGCTGACATCCAAACTGGTGCCATAACCTGTTGACGTGTGACCCCGGCTCTTTGCTGGACAGGCAGGTTTCAGAAATGCACGCGTCAAAACTCAGAATCACGTGTGTGTGCAAGTGTGTAAGAGTGAAAAACAGTTACGAAGACGCGACTGAAAGCACAAGCGGTCCTGAGCAATTGACCTTCTTCAGCGCATTCGTTGGCTAATTACACTGCAACCCTACACTGCCCTGCACCTTGACCCTTCCTCTCTCTTGGGCTATGGCTGAGATGCCGGCAGGGCCCTCGTTCGATAATAATGTTTATAAGGCAAGATTGCAAAGTCGCCGTGCGGTACGTGTACCGAAGACAAAGGTTCAAAGCAGCCGAATATTTCGTGCTTAGAGAGCAGCAACAGATGCAGGGCTCACAAGCAAGCTTTAAGCAGAGAGCCGAGAACTCCGAGTTCTGGAGCTAGGCCTCGTAGTGACCACTCCATGGCTCAAAGGCATAGAGGAGGCCGTTCCCGAAGCACTCCAAGTTTGGGTAGACGCTCCTGGCTTTCGAATGCGGCGTCTTGGCTTCTGAAGAGAACCATGCCTATAGCAAAGGCCACAGAAATTGAGAAGGAGGAGGAGGAGGAGGAGGAGGAGCCGCACTTGCAACGAGGGTTAACAATCACCAGCAGTTGATGGCAAGCTTGCACTCCCTCAACATTCTCGCATGAACTCAGGCGACTCAGGGCCCAGGGACTGAGCCAAACAGGCGAGCTTGTCTCTGCAAATTTTCAGATCTTTGCTTTGGGGTTCTCTGATCTTGTATTCATTCGACTCCGACTCTCACGAGTGCACAAGGCAAGCCTTGCAAGGTTGGGGGTTTCTCGGAATCGTGGTACACCTCACTTCGATGTGCTTGCCGGGGCACCAAATCAAGGACCAAGCTATCGAGGAGGTCGCATTCATCCGAACCTCAAAAATCGACTTGGGCCCGTGCCTCCCAACTCAATAACTCAAAGCTGTACCTCTTTGTCCTCGGGCCTGTCGTCAAAAAGCCCTTGCAGACATGCTGGCTGTGCTGTGCGTGGTATTCTGAGGCATGCCGGGATGCATGGCAAAGGTGTACGCAGTGTTGAATAAGCCTCCAAACTAGAGCGTTTATATACTCTGAGGTCTTGCCCGGGATTGCCCATGCAAGATGATTTAGTACTGCGAGTGTAAGGAAACGAGGTGGACTCAAGTCGCCTACAAGGAAACCAGCTGGCAGCCCTGAGCCAGCGGCGTAATTTTGGTTGATCATCCTGCCCCAGCACCCCGCGCCGCCCCAGTCAGCCACCGTCGAGGTCTCCTACCCAGGGTCCAACTCTTTGGCAATCAAGACTCGGACCGTGCGCCTGAAACGGAAAGCCGGTAAACGAGCTGGTACGACGGACGGTGACAACGATACTGGTAGTACTGAGGATGGTGACAGTGGTAGTGAGGATGATGACGACGGCGATGATACTGAAAGGGGCGGCAACAAAGCGACCATGGCGATGAACACGAAGAACCGAATGGTGATGTTGATGCTGATGATGGCGAGTACGATGGCGAAACTGGTGCCGAAGCTGCTTGCTGAAAGCATCTGCTCACAGCTGTTGCTGCTGTTCTTGTCGGAACAAGGAGTCAAACGTCATTCATCGATGGTCGAACGACACGAACCTGCAGAAACACAGTTGAGTGGGGGCTACCTCTGCATGGCGGAAGATCGGCCAATGTGTACTTGCGGACTGCTACCTTCCGCTTTGAGGGAACTATGCGAGGAACGTGAACGTCTCTTCAGAACGTGAAGAGTCTATGGGTCCGGAATTATTTGAGGAATTCTTTTTGTTTTATTTGGGGAATTTTTTTTGTTTTTAGCTTTTGCTTGGGAAAGGGGGGGCAGGGACGGAGGGAGGGAGGGGGGGGAGGGAGGGAGGGAGGGAGGGAGGGGGGGGGGGGGGGGGGAGGGGAGGGGAGGGGAGGGAGGGAGGGGGAGGGGGGTGAGGGAGGACGGGGAGGGAGAGGGAGAAGGGGAGAGGGGAGAGGGGAGAGGGGAGAGGGGAGAGGAGAGAGGGGAGAGGGGAGAGGGGAGAGGGAAGAGGGAAGAGGGAAGAGGGAGAGGGAGAGGCGGCGAGGGTGAGGGCGAGGGAGAGGGAGAGGGAAAGAGGAAGAGGGAGAGCGAGAGAAAGGGAGGAAATGGGGGGAAGGAAAGCAGGGAGGAAGGGAAGAAGAAGGCAAGGGCGCCAAAAAAGAAGAAGGCAAAAACGCAAGCAAGCGAACAAACAAGCAAGCAACCAAAAACTCGAGGAAACAAAGGGAAGAAATATATAAGGAATGTCAATAAGCACAAAGCAGCAGCAACACAAGGAATAACGGCAAACAGAATAGATATGTAGATGTGCCTGTGTGTATGCGTGTATATACCTCTACTCCGGTTAGACACCTGAAAGGTGAGCCGGCACTTACAAGGAATAGCGGATTAAAAAACAGATATGTATATGTGCATATGTGTATGCATCTATACTCCTCTACTCCGGTCAAGTACTTGAAATTCCAGTCAGATACCTGCAAGGTGAGCCGGCGCGCACAAGGAATAGCGTCTTTTCGACAGATATGTATATGTGCATATGTGTCTGCGTCCATACTCCTCTACCCCTGTCAGGTAGTTGAAAAGTGAGCCGTTCTCGCCCAAGGGCCCTTATCAACGGAGAGCCAAGGCTTGCGGTATGAATGTATACAAGGACAAGTCAAAATCTATATGCCCTGTTGATTGAACAAGCGTCTTTCCTCCTTGCTTGCTAACTTGAACAAGAGACGCCCGCGCTTGCATGCCAGAGCTCCTAAGCCACGTGACCTTGCATCCGTTTAGGCTTTGGTGCTTCGGGTGCTTCGCTGTGCCTCCACAATCTCTGTTTCCTCTTTTGTTCAGCTGTCTATACTTTGCCCAGGATGTCTCCTTGTGACGCAAACTTTGCGGACATGCCCTCAGTGATCACATTCTGCAAGCAAGATGCCAAGACAGGATCAATCAAGCGGTCTCTGCTCCTCCACTTCCAAATCATCGCACCAGCCCTAGTCTCAGAATAACACATCTACGACTACTCTACAAACCTAGCACTACTGTTTCCAAGAGGACAAAACATTGCTGACCAAGACTGGCTGGCATACTGGTACTGCCGTGCTGGTAGTGGCGGTTTGGCGAATATTCGAAAACCGAATGATGTCGTGCTACTTACCACTTCTGCTACTGCTGCTACTACTACAACTACTGCTACTACTACTTGCGTGGGGATTTGATCTTGATGATGTTCCTTGTCGCTCACCCACCGAGCTATGTTGGGTAATGATGTGGTTGCCCTCTACAGACTCGATCACTTTCTCTCTCTCCCACGTGTCAGCTTCACTCCCTGTGCAGGCAGATCCAGAGCTCGCTTGTTTTGCACCTTCGCGGCCAGCGATGGATCGTCGTTTTATTAAACGGATGAGGGGATTTCATACATACATAATAAGTACATACATATATAAATCACCACAGACACACATGCACATACACATGCGGCTTCGCGCGAAGCGAAGCGCATGCCGGCTCGCGCGCGCATCTGGGTATGTTTCGTGCGGCTTCGCGCCCCAGACGCCGGCTTGCGCACCTGCGAGCGCGCACCTTCGCGAAGAACGAATTACATTCATATGCACACATGCGTAAAAGATTGGTCGTTCTCTGAATGCCGCAACTTTCAGACTCTGCCCTGCCAAAGCTTTGCTCAAGCTTTGCGATGCAGGGAAAACCAGAAAACATGTTGGTCACAGGCTCCTCAAACCAGACTCGCTTGGAGGTTCATGATAAAGAAAAGGCAGAAAACAAAAAGCAAAGAAAGCAGCAGAAAGCGGAGCGCAAAGCAAACGCAGAAAACAAAAAGCAACAAGCAAAACACAAAAAAACAACAGAAAGCAAAAGCAAAAAACATAAAAAACAAAAAGTAAAGAGAGCAGGAAGCAGCAGAAAGCGGAGCGCAAAGCAAAAGCAGAAAACAAAAAGCAACGAGCAAAAAACAAAAACAACAGAAGGCAGAAGCAAACACACACAAAAACAAAAAAAAATCCCAAAAAAAAACAAAATAAATTCCTCAAATAATTAGGATTCCAGAGTCTATCCCTCAGTGCGCAATGACATCATAATGACTCAACCGGACGGAAATTTTGGCTCAATCTAGACCTGTGCAGCAAGATTACGCCAGCCCCACGACTGGGACAGGAAGGCAGAGATCTTGGTAGAACTGCAGTCTCTCCTAGTAGAGTATCATTCCCTCCTGTACAGCTGTCATGCTTCTCAACGTTGCTAGGGACCCTTTTGCCTCCGACGCCCAGAAGCGTGTAGAGGGGTGACGCCGCAGTGCTTCGCTGAGCTGCTCATTGCCGTTGCCTCAGACTTCTTCCATGTTGAACCACGCGGTACACTCCAGGACGGCAAAGAATCACTTCATTGGTCATGTCGTCTTGTGTCACGGAGACTGCTTTGCTTCGCACCCTGCGCTGTGGGACTCTGTGACAGGCTTGAACTTTCAGGCTCCAAGGTTGGAAAGTACGTTGCAACCAGACATTCCGAAAGGACCTGCTCCCGAAAGGGAAAGCAAGGATGAAGCCTGGGGCCGGGACAGGGATAGTGCAGGCCAACTGCAGAGATCAGCTCCTGGAAATGCCTCAGCTATGTCTACGGAAGAGATGCTCTCATCACATTTCTATACAGACTGTATACATATAAACAAGACATACATATTATTGTAAATGCTTACCTTTTCTTCACCTACGTATTTGCTTGCCTGCGTATATTTATATATGTATATATTAACGGAGAGAGAGAGAGAGAGAGAGAGAGAGAGAGAGAGAGAGAGACCGGAATAATATCGGAGAACTTAGCCTAAGATCTCACTGATATGACATGATATGATAATAACCGGCGTCATGTTGTCTGTTCGAAAAAAGACTTTTTTCTGCACGTCACGCTTGAGAAGCCGTTTAGATCCGCACAGCGTCGGCCAAACTCAGTCAAGGCCCTCTCTTGAACTCTGATTAGAGTGCAGGATTCCTAGCTAGAGCTCTTCAGGACCACGGCCTGGTACCTTGAAGGGGCCATAGATATCAATCGTGGGGTAGGTCTTCGGCATCAAAATATCTTCTGACACGGCTAGGCTTTCTCGGTTTTCCAACCTCAGCAGGGCCCTCAGGAGGGACTCCTGAGTGCGCTTAGCCTCCTTGTAGTTGCCTGTGTTGTAAAAGCCTTCGAGCTCTACCTCCCAGTATTCTCCCAACGCGGAAATCTGCTTGAAGGGAACACCAGTGTCTCCAGAGCTGAAACTGCCACCAGGTAAAGTCCCAAGCCCCGGGAAGCGAGTCCCGAAACCTGTTCCTGTGATGCTATAAATGGTATCCGCAATCCACTGCTGCATTGAAACCATGACATCAGCCCCATAGGCAATCCCAACATTGAAGCGACGTTCATGGTTGGGAGTGAGGGTCGCGTGCCGACCGTTCCCGAAGGCATTCAAGCTTACTTCTGTCCTGGCGAAACCATCAGCAAGGAAAACAGGCCCTCCCTTAGCCGTGCAAACAGGACCGGAGGCAATGTTCATGCCTGCCGAGATGATCAACTGGACGTCCACAGTCTGGCCATCTGATAAAGTTCTGTTGCACAGCTGCCCCATTGCATGATCTAAGCAGATCTCCAAACCAATCTTGAGGCCTCCGATGTTCAGCAAACCATTCGGCAGCTCAATGTCAGGTCCGAAGCCGAGCTGTTGCAGCAAATGTCTGGGCAATCGGCTGCTATACGTACAACCGTTGGAATCCGGATGCTTTCGACAAAACTCATGGGAGCTGTGGGGCGGTGGTGGAATTACGCGAGAGTCTTTGGGGCCTGCCTTCAGGAAATCTATGCCGCTGACGAAGCGCTTGAACTTCAAATACGTGATGTTCGTACCGCCAACATGAACAGGAGCAAAATTGAAGTATGTGATGTTATCGCCTGGTCGACCGGACATGCGCACATACCGCTCGTCAGTGGTTTGGGCCATCACCACCGTGCCATCAATGATCAACCAATGCTTGAAGCGCTCATGTGCAAATCTATTGAAGATGAAGCGTACCGTGGAGTGTGCCGCATGCTCGAGTCCAGGTGAAACGCGGTATGCTCCCTGCTTGCCGCGCCAATAGAACTCCGGGAGCAAGACGATTTTCAGCGTGCTTGGGCTTCGATCCCAATGTTCCGAGGAAAAAGCCTGCTCAACTGCATCAATCAAGATTTGGAGGCGCCGTGCAATGTCATCACGCACCTTGTCACTGCCTAAGTAACATTGCTCCATCTCGTCCGCATCGCCAAAGCAGCCATCAGCTTCGGTTCCAGGCGCAGTGAACAAGTTTACGCCAAGGTACTGCACGGCATTGTACTGTTGGCCATCAACCAGAACGGTTGGAGGAGCATGTTGTTCTGCCTTCTGCACAGTGGCAAGGTCTATCTGAAACAAGCATGTGAAGCTTGCAAGCGAAGAGAGTAGTACGGTGCCGACGATGGCCTTGTATTTTGGCCGTCCGCCTTTCCAAAATGCCCATGCAGACCAGGCATGCCTCAAAGATAGCCTGTCATTGTCGAAGCCTGGCAAAGGCCGGTTTTCTTCGCACTCTGCATCTGATTCCAGAAGCCTTTGCGACATGAGGCACTTGTGAGCAGCAATGCGGGTTATTCTTGTGACGCTCACTCTCGGACAAGCCTGGCAAGGTCTGCAGTTGTAGGTACGACGGCATTAACCATTTAATAGAGAGTTTCACCCCCTGTGTCACTGTCAGACAGAGCAAGGGTTCCACGACACCAACAAGTATCAATCATATGTTATGTTCGGCTTTTGGTCTTTGAGCATTACGGCCAATGGTTCCTGCACGGTGCAATAGAGCTGTGCTCAACAACAGCGAGGAATCCTGAAAATCCTGAGCAGCCTCCGACTTCCTTGCCATATCCAGCCCCCGGCTCATCTTCCTCGAACTTGCTCAGGAAGTCTTGCTTTACCTGTGAAGCGACCGCATCCTTGGCACACGGCAAAGGCAGGAAAGCGCACTGACAGCAACGGCTCCTTGCCGAATCCGACAACGCCTCGATAACACATGGCACATCGTGGGGCAACTAATCAATTTTAAATCGGCCTATGCTACCTCGTCTGCATTTCTGAGGTTGACACGAGCATTACCAGCTTGGTTGTCAAGTTTGCTTCCTGGCGTCCAAGCTTGACAAGAAGCTGTACAAATGACAGCATGCAAAATGCACCGCAAGTCCGGTCCTTGATGGCGGCAGCAAAATCGGACACGTACCAAGCTGCACCTGGCAGTGACCAGCAGAATACAGGTGTGGACGGTTGAGAGCAGGAATCGAGGCTGAACCCGGAGCAAGAGGCGTCTGCACGAGTCTGGGGCTCAGCACCCCAATCTCGCTCGTTCCAAATTCCGACATAGTCAATTTCGATGTCAAGGGTCTCCTGTCCGAGAATATCCGAGAATTCAGCAAGCCCGTGACGCCCCTAGAGATGCATCAAGTCTGCATCAGCATGAACTGCAATGATACGGCTTGAGATTTCTGCAGATCACCATGTCAAAGCATGAAGTCCTGCGTTCTGCATGGGATACTCCCCGCCTTGATGCACTTCAGCCAGGACACGTGGTAAAAGATGTTGTCCTGCACTGAAGCATTCCAGTTCTCGCATCCGGTCCCTTCCGACAAGGCTCCCAGTCTTTCATAGTGCACAGGCCTTCTCATGCCTTTCCCTTTCACTCTCCACTCATGTCCAGCCCGACATCTTGCACCGCCACAAATGGCGGTGTGGGCCAAACACAGATCGCGACTGCTGTTGCAAACCTGCAGTCTGACGCAAAGCCTTTTGCCGTCGACTGCCAAAGACAATACTACGCGCCCTGTCAGGCTCGCAGGACAGCCCCTCATGTTGCAGCCTTGCAGCCTGCACCTCCGGAATCACTCCCTCTTGGAAGAAGCCATCAATAGCACGCAGCAAGCCGCAGCAAGCCGCAGCAAGCCTTGCTGAAGAAGGTGCCATTTCCGATCCAGCCCGGAACGCCCCAGGCCTAGGAGGCTCCAAAAGAGGGATTTCAGGCGCTTAAGTTCGCTTCACAGGAAGCTCTCGCCCAATTCCACCACCAACGGAAAAGACTCTAAGGCTTCAAGGCCTCGAGGCTTCTGAGCTGCCGTGGAAGGATTCGGGCAGACTCACTGTTGTAGAAGACTGGGGGCATGCGGCATGCGCTCTCTTCGTACTGTGCACCTCGTGGAGCACATTTATTCTGCCCCCATTGCATCTTGCTGGAATCAGAGCAAGTCCTGTGCCTTCATCAGCCTCGCAAGACACCTGCTCCCACTGGAAATGCATCGTCCGGGGCGTGCGCAAGGCCGTATGTCCGGATGTCAGGGTTCCGCGCCTGCGCAGACTTCCAAGTGCAACTTCGGGGATTCGTATTGTTCCTTTGGAGCGATATACATATGTGACAGCACATGTTATCTCGACAAAGAGTTCAATTTCGTTGCCGCAATGGGCCGAGCACATTTTCTCTCAGAGCTGCTCAGCTTAGGCCCGCCTTCGCCTCCTTAAGCAGCCAGGCCTTGGGAAGAGATACCGGGTGCATGGCGTGTAGTGAGCCGCCGGAGGATCGCATGACCAAGGAGCTGAATCTAGTCACAGAATGTAGTCTTCAGGCACAGAATGCGCCAACACTGGCAGCACTGGCTTCGCCGCATGTAGTCAGAACAGTCTCTGTTTGCCAAGATATCTCGCCGACTTCCTGCCTCGTAGCCCCGTAGGCAATCTGCTTTCTCGCCTCTGCACATAACAACAATTCTGAAGCCATGGCTTGACCTATATCAAAGCCTCCATTGCTTGTTGCGACTCTTTTGCCAGAGCGGGTCGTGCCGGATGGCGTGGCAGTCGGAGAAAAATGTGCTTCAAAGATTTAAAGAAGTGGTCGATCTCATCGGCATCGGATAAGTCTTCTCGATGCTTGCTTCACTTAAACAGTTGCAGCCTCGGTTCGACAGCTTAAGCCTTGGCATCCTCCTTGGCCATGTGCTTGATCAAATCGACAACGCGGCAGCTGTAGCCCCACTCCTGGGCTGTTCTTGGAGACAATTTACAAAGTCAAATTTGTGCTCAGTCTGGACATAAAGACAATCTTCAAAACAGGCCAAGAATCGTTGTCATACCAGCACACCACCTTGACGAAGGTGGGGTCCAGCATGATGCCAGCCTTGGAGTCGAATGTGCAAGAGATCGGGTTGGTCTCGAAGTCAGTCGACACCAAGGCCTCGTCCGTGTAGCCCAGGTAGCCCTTCATGTCTCCCTCGGAGCGCTTCTTCATCTCGGCGCAGATCTCCTCGTAGGTGGTCTCCTTCTCCAACTCCACGGTCAGGTCGACCACGGACACATCGATGGTAGGCACGCGCAAGGCCATGCCGGTCAGCTTGCCCTTCACATCCGGAATGACCTTCGCCACAGCCTTGGCTGCCCCTGTGGAGCTGGGAATGATGTTGCCGGGGCCAGCACGGCCACCGCGCCAGTCCTTCTTGGAGGTGCCATCCACGGTGGGTTGAGAGGCGGTCATGGCGTGGCAAGTGGTCATGAGGCCACGCTTGATGCCGAACTTCTCTTGCAGGACACGCACTGCTGGGGCCAGGCCGTTGGTGGTGCAAGAGGCACAGGACACGGCCTCCATGGAGGGATCGTAGGTGTCCTCGTTCACGCCCATGACGATGGTGTGGGAGTCATCCTTGGCGGGAGCGGAGAAGATCACCTTCTTAGCACCGGCCTTCAAGTGCGGCTGCACCTTCTCGGTGGTCAGGAACACGCCGGTGGACTCGCAAACGTACTCTGCACCATGCTCGCCGAAGGGGATCTCAGCGGGATCGCGGGTGTGGGACAAGGCCACCTTCTGGCCGTCAATGACCAGGGAGTCGCCGTCAATCTCCACCGTTCCATCGTACTTCCCATGAATGGTATCGTACTTCATCATGTATGCCAAGTAATCGGCATCATAACTGGCATTAATCAACTTCAGCTCGGTCTCCGGATCCTTCATGGCGATGCGGGCCACCTGCCTGCCGATGCGGCCGAAGCCATTGATGCCAACGCCCACGGCCTGCATGGAGGTGCGTCCCTTGCTGGCTCGCTTGCCAGCCACACCTGCTGCAGCCAGACCAGCCACGGCACCGAGGCCAGCCATGGCACCAACACCGGCGGCCTGAGAGGAGCCATAGCCGGCGGCACGGAGGTTGGTCCTCTGCATCTGCGGCTCGCTGTGCTGAACCTGGCCAGCCGGCGCCACGAAGGCACCGCTCAAGGCACCCGCTGCCGCGAAGGCACCGACGCCAGCCATGGCAACATTGGTGGCGGTGGAAGGCATGGCGAGGATCAGCTGATGGACTGACAAGCTGGCTACGAAACGGCTGCGCACTGACTTCAGCGATCTGCTCAATTCGGATTCTGTCGCCCAGACTCTCTGCACAGCGAAGAATAGCTCAATTGACATTGTCTCACATCCAGAAAAGACAAAAGAGCAGTATACTCTCGACATCCTGATGGCGCCATCAAGGGCATTCAGGACTGTAGCTTGCGGGTGTTTGGAGGTGAACTGCGAAACCCTTCCGGGGCCTCGATAGCGCATGTGTGAAGGCTCCGTTCCGTCTGTTGACCTCGGGCTGCTGCGGGATGTGAGCGGAGCATGTGTACAGCTTTTGTAGGCCCTCCCAGTCCTCCGAAAGCCTGTTCAGGGCCTCCCAGCCTCCTCCCGACTGCAGCACCAACAAAGCCCAAAATCTCACAGAGTAAGTTCTTCGAACAACCGGCAGCCCTGAGCACCTGAATCTGGCCTTGCAGGGCCTATAGCAATCTGAAATCCCTTTGCTGCAGGCTTGCTTGCAAGGACGCCTCGTAGATCCCTGAAGCATGGATTCAACAGACTCAACGAGAGGACTGCCTGGCAACGGTCGTGACGTCTGCTAGGGTGAACTACAGTACGTGGCTGTTTAGGTGCATTCTCCGCACATGCTGCTTACTAAGAGACGTCTGCTGACTGAGGTGGAAGAATCGGAAATCGCTTCCACCGACAGAGGGTGACAGAGGGTGGCTCGCAAATCCGCCATATGGTTTCAGATTGCTTAGGGATTACCGAATAAACTACAGAGGCTCCGCAAATGGAACTTCCAAACGTTGGCGGCTCGAGCAAGGAGTGCACTTTCGTGTACTTTCACACATTGGGCATTTGCCACTGTCTTCCTCAGAAGATGCGCCACCAAAACCCTTCGATGCCAATTCCCGGCATGTCCACGAAGCATGACCTCCGCGAGTCGCAAGTAGCGCGAGGTCCTTGCAGCCGCGTCGAGCTGTCCAGGGCCGAACTCTGGGCTGCTGTTCGGATCAACAGCGACGGAAAATCCCTCGATGAGGCTGGCAAACGCTAGCCATCGCTAGCCGCTAAGAACAGCAAGCTGCCGCAGGTGCGACATATATAGCAGGCGCCGTGAACCTTCAGTAAATCATGCTCTGCTGTCCAGATCCTTGCGATCTGCGAAGAATACGTGAATACGTCCATCTTTTTGTCGTTTCTTGCAGACGCAAAGAGCCAATCGCCGACACAGCCGTGGGAAGGCCCTCATCCCGAGCTCCATCCGAAGACTGCCCCCTGGATCTCGCAGGCACTGACGGCGGTGCTGTGACAAAGTCGGTCTGCCTTGACAATGAGAGAGCTTAAAACAACGCCTTATTCCACAAGTTGCCGTAGGTAGCGTGTGAACACAGAAGCCGAGTTGCATTTGGCATCCACCGAAGCCACGATGTCGAGACCTGCCACGTCTCCTGTGTCAGGGTGCATGTGATGCAACCTCTTGAAGGAGTTGCGTGCCGAATCGTCAGTCACCATATCAAAAGAAACTAATGCGGCACTGGTGTATTGTTGCATTCTACGATTCCTTGGTCGCCATCAGTGCGGCACCCAAGCTTGTCTCGCTGCGCTGTAATGACTGAAGATCCGATGCACCTGCTGCCAGCACTCCAAACAACAAGGATCAGGTGCAGCTCAACACCACTCCCGAAACCTCGCCATTACGGAGTCGTTAAATGCGGGCATAGGTGCGGAGCAAGCCTGCAGCTTCTTTCCAGTTGCTGCCAAGCCCAGCAATGGCAGAGCTCCGGGTCACTGAAGTGGGCTCCAGATCTTGCCGGAGGAGCGTCGACATCCTGTGCCATGCTGCTTGTGCACTTCTGCACTCGACTACCCGGGGCACGATTACAAGAGCTGCGGCCCAAAATGTGCGTAAACACCAGTAAACGTGAGCCGGAGCGTCGTCTCAGCTACCAGCTGCCACGAAGACAGCGTCGCGATGGCCGAATTGAAACTCACGCGATCCTGCACAAGACACAAAATCGATCAGGCAAGGTTCCGACAACGAACTGTGCTGTTGACCTTATACAGAGATGCCGCCACATACTACGGCAATCCCATTCCCAGAAGAATCCAATCCACGAAGTTAAAAATCAACGCGGTATCTTGCTTTTCTATCGCCACTTCTGATCTGGTAGAGTATGCTACTGAGACTTTGCTCTAATGGACGGGCGAGGTGCTGAGGCTGAGGCTCACCGAAGCGCTTCTTAATTTATGAAGCAAAAGAACACCAGATGCCTTCCCATTCGCGTCCACATGACGTACCAAGACTCTACGCATCAATGAATTTGTGTCCTGAGATTGCTGGCTTTGTCTCATTGCAGAGAGCATCGCCACGGCCGGCTTCCATGCGCTTCCGCATGAGTGGATGAGCGCATTGCACACCACAGTGCTGATTTGCACTGCAAGCTTCGCAATGGTCTGAACCTGGATAATGTTACATCAGATCTAGCTTTAGGATGGACTTTCTTTTCTGTGGCCCTTGCCCAACACAATGAAGTACTGAGCAGCAGGCCAGAGCAAGTGTGCAACACCAATGCCCGGCGACGCAAGCAGAGACGGTAGCACCAAGGCTCACAGCGCTCAGCTGCAATGTTGCACTTCGTATTCCTCCGGGGTCCTAACCTGCAACATATGCCTTCCAGTTGTGGCTCTGCACAGATCAAACTCATAATTACCCTGGCCTAGTTATCTGAGGGACAACTGACAAGGAATGTGTGCGTCGATGAGTTGGCATGACTCACCATGTTGTTCGCCCGTGAGCTTAGCAGTCCTTGCGCAAACTCTAAAGCCGCATCCCAGGCACTGAACTGCTCACAGGCGCGGATGCAGGTGTTGTGTGCGATTGCAAGTTGGGTCCGTGAACTTCGCCCAAAGCACGTTGATCCATCTTTGACGCGCCTCTGGTGCTGGGTGCCGACACTGCGGCATGGCAAAAGCTAAAATGGCAACCCGTTGGGAGTGTTCGGGAGACTTTGACTGTTAGTATTCGGAAGCTGGAGGGTGAAAATACCGAGATGGCATTATTACACCTTGAACATACGGGTATACGAAGGCTGTATCACTCCAGGGCACCCCTCAGAGCATCGAAGCGACAAAAGCCCTTCGCGCCAGGACCTCTGAATCTTCGCTTCGAGCGCGATGTTGTCGGCCACGGCATCGCACTTGAGCCTGGGCATGGGCGTGGGCAAACTAGCGTGGGTATCCTTGACACAGCAGAAGCTGTGAGAGCAACGGTCTCGACTTCTTCAAGTAGCTGCAGGTGCATCATGTGGCTGAGTACCTTGAATGCACAACTCCGAGGCTAGACCAGGGGCTTAAGTAAACATACCATCTTCGCACTATTAGTCATTTGTCGTGTATCTCAAAACGCTTCATCCGGAGGGCCAAGAGAGTCGAGCTCCAGTAAGTTGCCTTGCTGCAGGCCTTTGCTGCGCTGCTCACGCCAACCAGGCTTTGGATGCCAGGTGTGAGAAGCTGCAAGGCTGCTGCCCACGCAACTCCTGTTGCAACGAATAGGCGGCATTGGTAGGGCTGGACATAACATAACATGCAGACAGCCGGATATTCGCCTTGTCAGCAACAAGCTCTTCAAAAGGTTAGCAAGGAATGGGGCAGCGGTCCGTGCGAAAAGGACCGGCAAAGTGCAGCTGCTGCATCACCGGCGCTTGCTCGGAATTGCAAGTTTCTGGCATAGGCCTGACATCTCGAGCAAGCCGGAATCCGGATTTGATCTTCTCTTTGCCGTATACCGGCTGTGCATCTGTGTGTGCGTAGAGAGAGAATGTCAACATAAATCTACAGATTAATGCAAACAAGTGAACATATATATATATATATATATATATGTATATATATATATATATATATATATACACATATATATATTGAGTGTGCATGTGTGTGTCGGCGCATGTATGTAAACATAATGAGTACATACATATACATATGCATGTATATATAGATATGTGCACACATTTAACTTGTATTTCAACCCGTGCTGACATGCTGAAAACGGAAAGTATCCCTGAGAAGCTGTGCTCAACCATCAGCGTACCTTCTTTATCCACTCCCTTGGAACACCACTGAAATTAAGAAGTATTTTGCGCTGAGTGTGAATGACATGAGCAAGTCCAGCAATCCAATCGCGAATTACGTTCAACATGTATGTATGTATGTACGTACATGCACACGAATATGACATATATATATATATATAGGCGTGTGTGTGTGTGTAATGTATATTCATATACATACATATTCGGTGCGTGTGGCAGTCCAAAATTGCAAACCTGGGTCATACAAGCGCACCGCAGCGCACCCAGCCGTCTCTCGTTCATGGACCCTGCAATGCCCGATCTGCAACATGCGAATCATGTGACCGAGAATTGTTCTGCAAAACGTGCTCTGTTTGACATGTTCTGCATCTGCATGTCATCACGAAACATGCTCGGTGTAAAGAGACTTCATTAGGGTGGGCATGCAGCACGCCATGGAAACACTTCCCTGAGGTGCACGCTGTGGCTGTGCGTTCCTGCCTCAGACTTGAGCTTGAACCTCAACCTTCGCTAACTGCAAAGAAGGCACGTGGGCTGCGTGCTGCCACTGGCTCCGGCACGATATTACTCCTCGACAGCAAGGGAAGGATAAGGCTTGGACTTCAGGCTCTCTTCAAGCCCATGCAAGCATGGTGCAGACTCGTCCTGCTTGCCAGCACAGAGAGTCCAGTCGCACCCGCAATGCCTGGTGGATTTTGGGCTCTTTGATGAGCGTAGAATAGTAGCTCTTTCACCTGTTTCACCTGTCGTTCAGCATGGACCAGCATATATATCGTGATCGCAAAAAGCACGACATGCCTGCGAGATACTCGACACCAGGAGTGGCATCCCCCAGATCTATCCAGCTTCTTGAGGAGATGGGCACCGGGTTGAACTCTATTTCACGAGTCGCTGTGGAGCCCCTCGCTCAAGACGCTGTTCGTTCCGAGAGAGTACCAGTAAGTTAGAGATCCTCCGATGTACCGGATGTAAGATGCAAGGGCTGTCGCCGCTGGAGGACATCTAGGACTCCAGGACAGTTTCCATTGGTCGCATTCCAACGGACTGGTGCTGGGACTCAGTCTTCAAGATCTTTTCAGCATCGGCTAAATACAAGCAAACCAATCAACAGCTTCCCGCGGGTCACCTGCCTGGGCTCCGAACAGGAGCTCCAGCGCCCTGTGCCACGGCGCGACCACGGCAGAGGGACCCAAAGCGAAGACCGAGACACGCAGGTAAGAGCCCCGAAGCGTCCCTAGGCAGGACGGAATCTGGGATCTGTACGTGGTACCCGCTGTTCCGCTTTGTGCTAAACAGACTGCAGGTGACCAACGTCCGTTGAAAAGTGCAGTTTTTCCACCGGGTGGTCTTGTCTGCCAGTTCACTGTTGGTAACTAATTACTGTGAAAAACCTTCCGACGTCGTGCAGGTCTGATGTGTGGGCTGCATCACAACGGTTCCGAGCTGCCGAGGTGGTTGAAGCTGGCAGCCCAACGGCTCCCCGAGGTGATGAGCATGTTCCAGATGATCTGCGAGGGCTGCACCTGTCAAAAACGTCCACACCTCCCAGTCTTCGATTCGGGCGCCTTGAGCTACACTTATTCGAGCTCTGGAACACCTTCTGCATCACTTTTATTTGTGGCCACCAAGCCTTGGTGCGCCACATCTGATCCAGTGAGTTCAGAGCCCTCGCCCACTGCGCCGTCCTCGACAGGCCAAGGCTAGCAGGGATGTACGAGCAGCATCTAGATTGCCTCCAATCAGCACCAAACTGCTCCTTTTCCAAGAAGCCACAACTCGTCTGAAATCAGCACTGTCCTCAGCAGCAACAGTAGCTCAAGGGAGGGTCACAGCAGTCACCGCCTGCATGTTCACTAAACATGCCTGGTGTCCACCTCCATCCTACTGTCTCCAAGGCCATGGAGGCTTTGGATGAGACATGTCCAGGTCTGGCCCCCACCTGTCTTGTGCAAAGGGTGGTCTTATCATTACAGAACAAATGTACGTAGATGGCTTGGACGTTACCTGATTTGCCTGGAGCTGCAGCTAGCTCGCCTTTGTATCTGGAACTGCTTCGGCCGCCCGTGCTGACACAGCCTGATGCCTGCATGCCTGAATCCATGTCAGTCTGTGTTAGCTGAACAGGTCCCTGCCTTGGAACCGCTCATCCTCTGTCACAGATAGTCTGTTGGTTGCTGGAGAAGCCATCGAGGCAGGACAGCCAAATCACGAAGCCCAGCTCGTCGCGCTTGTCGTGATGGGAGCACATGAGGTTGTCGTTGCGACACCCACGTCTTCGGAGGAACAATGCCAAGCTGGTTGAGCCGGAAGGAAAAATCTCGAGCGGTCTGAGAATGCAGAAATCCCCTGAGCAACCAACTGCGACCGCACAAAATCGAGCCATCAAACTTGTCTATAAGGCCTACAAGGCATGGAATTGGCAGGAGATTCCTCTTTCTTTGGCTCGGTCCGGTGCTGTGTGTCCGCACCGATTTCAACTTTGAGTATCTGCAGCGAAGCGCCGTACCTGAACTCCGGTCAAGCTCATGCTGTCGTGACTGCAGCAATGATTCGGGATTCACTAAGTAATCTGCATGACGCATCGTGCTGCTCTGGGCGCCTGCAAACCAACAATGCTTTCGATGCAGCTCGAACTGAACAAACACCTCCGACAAGCATCTCACTCCCCCAAATTCTGATCGGCTTGAGGGCTTACTGCGGCTTGAACAGCAAGTCCAGGATCTGTTCCTTTTGTGCGGCGGGATAATCCTGGAGCCAGGTTCAGCAGGCAAACTTGATGCCCACGACCAGCCAAGCAGTAGCCACTACGTCGCACATACCACAGAAAACACCGGTCACTGGTTCCTTTAGTGGGCATATTCTACAGAATCGTGTGTGTTTTGCACATTGGTGCTATACCTAAGTTTAATTACCAATTCTAGAAGTTGTCGACTACCAAATCCCAGCTCGCCTGGAGTAACCTCGAGGATGCACCCGCGCTGAGGGCACCGATGCCCTCGAACGGGTGGCGGTCGGCCTCCAGGCTCAGGCGAAAATCTCATAGACAACACACCAACATACCAGTAGCCCCCATCGACAATGCATTAGTACTTTAAAATGGTAGTACTGTTCAGCTCCCTGGCCCTTATTTCTGAAGTGCATCAGTCCTGCAGACAGGCTTTGTGCCCGAGGGATCACTAAAAATCGTTGACAGCGGTTCTCCACTTACTTAATTGCCTGACTGGTACTTACTACTCACTACTGGCAAAATACTTGCCACCACCACCACCACCACCACCACCACGACTCATGTTGTGGCAACCACCACAGAACTGCACGACATCGTGACACACGGCGTTGTGCCAGAGTTGTTTGGCATAATCTTAACATGGAAGGGCACTGGCGCACAGAGGTCAATAGAAACACCAGAGCAAATATGATAACAAAAATATGACGGCCTGCGGTTCAACATGGCACAACAAGACACACTTCTTGGCAGCACATACTTCATGCATGCATGCGCTCGTGCACTGCTCTCTTGTTCGTAGAAGCGTGCGAGTACTCCTAACCGTGCAGTCTGCGAAATTGAGCTCGACAGCAAGCTTGACCCTCAACGCCGAAAACTTGCAAAGCCAGCAGCTATCGACTGTCGCGTGTCTCGACCAACCTCCCGACCCTCTTCTATGGTGACGTTGCGGACCAGCCTGGCGAGCAAAGGGATGCAAATCGCAACATTTAAGCACATGCATGTGTGCAAAGTGCATCAAGTTTCACATTCATGGGAGCAGTGTTCCCAGGTGCGTTTGGCGGGGCATGCGGCAGCTCTGGAGTGATCGTGCTTTGGTGACACGCTGTATGTGCATGTTCAGCATGTCTCTCGGCAATCGACTCTCCGAACCAAACAAAGGCCGCACTCGAGCTCTGCTGAATTTGCCTGGCATCGCCTCGGGCGACCAGAAGCTCTGCCTGAAGGTCGGACTTGGTGCGAAATGTGCGTTCCTGCTTCCGGTCAAACGACAAGTACTTCCTTCTGGCTGCCATCCCCCACTCCAAAGTTCCATTTGCCAGATTCTGCCCACAGAGCCGACCCCCAGATTCCGACCTGCCCCATCGAGCCGGACAGTCCCTGTCCCGATTCTAGCGCAGCGGTGGGTTCCTAACTAAGCAGATGGATTCGTTGTTGGTGCTGCTCCATAAGATGGTGCACGGGCAGCATCACTTACCTGGTGACAGCCGACACCGGTGGACTCTCATGTCCCGGCCACCCTTGTAAAGTGCAGATCGACACAAACATTGGGCTTTTTTAGATCACGATCCTCGCCACGATTGGTTTGGATGTTACGCCGTCACCGGCACCGGGCGTGAAAACGCCAATATCACTGCATGGCTTCATCCAAGTTGGCAAGGAGCTGAAGTCCGCCTTTACGCTCAAGCCAACATGGACACGTCGAAACCAAATCCCTTCCAATTGCAAAGACAAGGCCGCAAGGCCCTCGGCCACCTCCGACTGGTCTCTCCAAAGCTTCACCGCAAGGGCCTGGCTCGGAGTCGGATTTCAGAGATCTCCTGCTAACAGTACCTACGCTACATACTTGGGTCTAGGACTCTCGCTGCAGAGTTAGACGGGGGGATGCTGCAAAACCACGCATATACCTCTTGCTGAATGACTATTGACGACGAGTGGAGGGAATTTCAATGGATTCAAATTTCTGGCTCGCCCATAACTAGAAAACAAGAACTTCGGCTGAAGTTGCAGACGAGACGAACTCTTTCTGCACTGCCGGCACCGACGGCGGAAGTGGGCTCGTCCTCCCAGGTGACACCCTTGCCTCTGCACCCTTGCGCAGGCGTGCATGCTGGCATCACTTCTGAGATGTCGGAGCCAGTCGGGCTATAGGCACATCAGACATGGCCTTTTGCGCAACGGCTGCGCTGAATGTCATCATCAGCTCGGTGTCTTGGCATTGGGCAGAGCCGGAGGCTGTAAGGCCACAATCTGATCTGCGCGTAATTTGCTTCATTCTCATATCCACGAGTGAAGAGCCCAGGTTCCTTAGGAACCCGGGCAAACGCCGTCCTCAAGCGGCCAAATGCCACCAGCAAAAGGGAAGCGGCTATCTGCTGATGATCGAGATGTACGCGAGTGCAGGAGCCTGTGCTGTGACATACAATGGGTGCCGCGAGGTACTCCATCATCAGCATCGAAACTACTCTCCGGACACCTCCCACGCAGGGGAAGGTCCGTCCTCAACTGTTCCTCTTTACATTGCCCGGTGTTCACGACACGACGGCGCACAGTGCATGCCAACAGAAATTGATCGCGAATTGAGCCTCTCGTGTGGGAAAAGATAGGTTTGAGTGACCCTGCTCGATGCAGAGTAGGGCTGTCACGTTTCAGCAGATGCACCTGCGCTCACCCGACAAGGACACAGACTCCGTCTCAGACGTGGTTCGCGTGCTTGGGCCCTCCTGGGCTGCAGCAGAATGGACAGATCCGGAGCAATTTCAAAACACATGGAAATTGTCAGCTTGCTGGTGTTCACAAGTTGCTCTCCTGAGCTGCGCCATGCTGCGCAAGGCTGTAACGAAATGACATGCATGCACTAGCTATTGGTGTGCATGCAGACGTAAGAACAGCTTCTTGCTGCTAATGCTGCATCTGCCCGTCGACTGCAAGTACGGCGGCTCCTGCTCCTTCCGCTATCTGATACCCAATACTGACTACTACTACACAAGTACTACTACTACTCCTCCTCCTCCTCCTCCTCCCCCGCCTGCTGCTGCTGCTGCTGCTGATAATAGTACTACTAAAACTACCTGTACTACGAAAACGACTAGTACTAGTACTACTGCTACTGCTGCTACTACTACTGCTGCAACTAGCTACTACTACTACTACTACTACTACTACTACTACTACTACTACTACTACTACTACTACTGCTACTCCCGCTGCTGCTGCTACTAGCTTCTAGGACTAGCTGACTAGCTACTACTACCAACTAATGCCGCTGCCGCTGCCACTACGACGACGTAGTAGTACACTACTACTACTACTACTACTACTACTACTACTACTACTACTACTACTACTACTACTACTACTACTACTAATACTACTACTACTACTACTACTGCTACGACTAAGCGAGGGAGAGAGAGCCTCTACGTGAACACCCAAGTCTGCCAGGGCTCGGTAGTCTCGTTCTCCAAGTCACTATCTGAAGCAGAGCAAAGTCCAACCGAAGCTACGGCGAGGGTTGTGCAAAAGGCCTCAGATATTCAGATGCAATGAGCACCCGAGCGTGCTGACAGCAGCTCCGGACCCTTCTGACGAATGCCAGCAGGCTTGATACAGTTGCAGCTGAAGCGAGTTGTACACAAACAGGTAATGTTTCCAAGACTTCAAACGGCAAGGTCATATGATGGAACCACCCACGCATTGGACGATATTGCCAGGTAGCGCCAACTGATGTGCCCACCAGTGCCTTGCTTCAAGAGGTTGAGGTCGAGAGGAGATCTTGATGCTGGGAATGGGTAACTCAACATCCCGTCAAATCTCTGACCAAACGACACCGCCTCGTATTGACCGAAGAACTGTCCACGAGACTTGGCGTGGTAAGCATCGTCTCGCCGGGTAGCTTGGACGCAGTATGTCAATAAGTTCCCTGGCCTGGAAAGTATATGTGCGGCTGAAAGGCAGTAAGCAACGCGCAGGCTAAAGCACGCTGTCGGTTGAAGCCGAGGTGATACTCCATGAAGTCCTTGGATGAGTACCCCTTCGATCCGCCTCGACTAAGTGCTATGCTCTATCCGTCCAGCGTACATCCTGCGGCGACGTGACATGGTTTTCTCTGCCAAGCCGCCATTGCAAGCTGCGGAAGCAAAGGACCTGGGAGACACAGGAAGCCGTGGTCTGTACGTACCCTCATCTGTCATCTGTCCAGAATCTTTGGCCTCCGGACGTTTTTCACACTCTGAAACTCACTCTCTGAGGCCGGTCTACAGACGCAAAGCGTGCTTTGTGCTACTTTGCTTCAGCAATCGCAAATCAAGTAAAGGGCCGGGAGAGAGCTGCACGTGGCAAAGCCTGCAACCAAGGCACCCATCGCGAAGCCAAGCAAGTTGTTGGCACCTGCGACGGCCGAAGTGGTAAATCTGTGTCAGGGTGACCCGGGCGCTTCTTCTGGCAGCCGACTTGCTCAAATCAGGGATGCTCTTCGAGGAGATGCATTTAAAGAAATTCGCCCCTATGTCCAAGGCACCCTGGCTCAGGCCGGTGGCGAAGCTTCTAAGGTCAGGCTCCTCCACCTGCGCCGGTCCCCGGGGGGGTGGACTTCTTATGTGGGTCTACAGCTGCCGACTTCGGGTCGGTGGCTCAGCAGATGGTTACGATGGTGTTGGAATTTTGTTCGTCCGAGATCACTTCGCAAACGGGATCCGCGACAGAACTCGACGACTCCACTACAACTCCTCGCTATTGCCTTTATCATTGTTGGAACGAGCCTGGAGTAGTCCTGTTCGTGCAGACTTCTCGAGGAAGCTTTCTCTCGCTTTCTGCTTCTACGATGGCGCTCACATGTATGTGGGGGCTGCTCAGTCATGGAATGGAAACAAGTCGCGAGCGAATCCCGTTCTCCGGTACCCAAGCATCTAGCAACCATTCCATACTTTACCACAGCAGCTCCCAAGTTCTGAAGTGCCGGCACGGTGCCGATTGGATGCAAACAATCTGTAGAAGGCCCGGCACCTGAGCCGCGCGCATTCGTTGGATGGCTCGCTGCTCGGTACAGCTAGCTGCAGCTAAACTTCTGCGCATTAAACTGCACAGCCATGCAGCTGAACCTCCGATGAAATTGAAATACTCTGTGACTCGAGCTTACCTGCAAACCGCCAGCAAGCATGCGAGGCACCGCAGTCACGCCCACCAAGACCATGGCGCAACCCAACCAGCAAACGATGATGCTCTTCAGCTCGAAACCTGAGACTGGCAGGAATGTGGTCTCAGCTAGCAAAATGGACGGCTAAGCTTGAATACCACAACAGTGGGACTCTCACTGCGTGTATTACACACGGCGTAGTCGGGCTTTTCAACGCTTAACCATTTCTGATTTCGCAACTCTTCACGACGGCGAGACGTGCGGTCCGAGTGGCTAGGGGGCTGCTCCTGGTGGAGCTGTGGAGCGATACCACAAGCCACGCCGACCTGGACTAGAACGAGCTCAAGAGACTCGCCTAGAAGACGGGAAACACTGTGATCACTATCACAACCGTTTTCCCTTGTCTCTGCAGAGGATTCTTCATTCAACCGTGCATCGCAAACCTCGTGCCTCGTGCATCCCTTTACATCACCCCCGCCACCGCCGACCGCGACGACGACGACAAGAACTCAATAACTAAAAACAGAAAACACACAGCGACAGCAACGGCTACTACTGCGACAACGGCGACGCTACAACCACTGCAACAACACCAATCAATGACAACCACAATAACGAAGAAAAGTCAAGCTTGCTGAAGTTGTCCTGCTTTTATTTGATCTTTTGGCTGAAGGTAGTCTATCCCATCATATCTCGACAACCTCTACCAAAACCCAGCCTAAGTCTCAGTGAAGACATGTACCAAGCAGCATCATGCTGCGTCTTCAGGATGCTTAAGCTTGAATTGATTCTTTATCACACCGGCGTTACAGTACCCTTCGCGTCGCATTTCCTTCTGGCTGCAAGAACCGGGGAAACATCCGTCTACGGACCGCCAGAGCCTGATGAGATTACCTTTTAAAATCATAATAACACGATCCTATCCGTTCGCCTGGTAAAGAAAGACGACTCCAGCTTGATCGACTGGTGGTTTGCATCTCGCCACCGTTGTGAAGTCTCGCTGGCTGGGAACTGGCTTTTTTGTACGAATATGGAGAAGATAGGATGCCAGCTGGGAAGCACATGTTGAGGATGCAGCAAGTTCAAGTACGCTGTTTCGAGGTCCGGGTACTTTGTCTGTCTTCCTTGAGCCTGAGCTCCAGGTACCATTCGTAAATCCCCATGCCAGAAGCGGTTCAAGAATCCAGAAATGTGCGTTCTGCCAGCGGGGAACAGCAGCAACGAGTGCCCCAAGAACGGCTCCGGAGAAGGCACGATGGATGAACCTCTCGGGCCATGTTCTCTGGCTTCACGACAGGTCGTCTTAACAGTCTTAAGGCTTCCTTCCTCTGGTTTCATTTGAGTGTGGCAGACCGCATGAGACTGCTGCACCGAGCCGGCGCCGGCCTAATAACTTGGACGACATGCAGGTCTCCCGATACGACTACAAGCCGTCGCGCGGCTGTTTGAATCGTGTATCTGTTTGTCCTTGATCGCTGGTTCAAACTGGAGAACGGCTTTCAGGCAGGTCTGCCTCAGTGTGGCGAGCCTCCCTGCATCATCGTGCTCCACCTGAGAACGAGGCAGCTTGCTTCTGATGGAAAACTGCAGTGGCGAAACTTGTGTGACATCTCTCTGGCATCAAGGAAGGCATGTCTTGTTTTGTGACCCCTTGCATCTTTTTACCAACCCAATATCCCTAGATTGACCCCTGAATATCTTCATTTCGACCCCCACATCGCTTGTAAATGACCACGTCTGTCCATCTTTGTTTCGACCCCTATGATCTATCGTTTGCCACCCCCACCCCACCCCCCCTCCCGGGTCGGAAAAACGACACAGCTCCCCTGATGTTCAAGGACATCGCAAGACAGTGCCGAAAAACTGCAAACTATGATTATGCTCCGAAGTTGAAAATTCAGCAACCAGCAAATATGTAAATGATTGAACAGCCTGCTACACATACTGTACGTGAATGTTCATTTTCATATATGTCTGCCGATATCATTCACGACGCCACACAAGAAACATACTTGAGAGCAGGACCACGAAAGCTGGGGGAAGAAAGCGCAGGCACGACTTGATCTTGTTGCAGCACGGCATTATGCACATGCTCCACACGTGCTAGCTGCTAGCTTTCGTGGCGTTGCTTGTACGGACCCTGCTGGGTCGAGCAGGCACATGCTGACAATGCACGCATTGCAGCAGCACCACACAAAACCCGTCTGAAGATGCTCAATGAGAGAGGGCCTCGTCGCCTAGTAAACTGAATGGGCAAACGACAACTCCCGCAACCTCCACAGAACTAGCTTGCGTGCTAATTAATGATGAGGAAGCTTCTGCTTCGTCATAACCGCTCCCATCATCACCATTATTGCCAGCACCGTCATCGTCATTATCCTCACCATCACCAGCAGCAGCACCATCATCACCAACAGCAGTATCATCATCACCAGCAACAGCAACAGCAACATCATCAGCAACAGCAGCAGCATCACCATCATGATCACCTCATCGGCTTCCCTCATCGTCGGCATCGTCATCCTTGTCGCGATGACACTACCACTCACTACCATTTTCCACCTCAGGCTTGACTCTAACGAAGTCGCAGAAGCGCCGGCCGTTGACAGGAGCCCTCCTCGGGCCCGGGCACGATTGCAGCTTGCCATTGTAATTCCCAGTGCACCGCTGGTCGCAGAAATGACGAGGAAGCTAAGCACCTTGGGTGACCAAAACAGGGCTAGGCTTCAGGGAAAACACATTATCGCAGTCTCCTGCTGGTTAAGCCCAGTCTTGCAGACTGCCGAGGTGTAGGAAAGCTGCCAAGCTTGCAACTTCTCTGAGCACTTTCCCATGCATGCTCGGCTTGCTCCCTATCACGACAAACTACCCCTGGCAGGTGCTTATGCAGATGCTTCTCGATGTCTCGGACAGAACATGCTTGCAGAAAGGCACCTTCGTCAATCGATATGTCGGAGCCATATGTAACTAACTACATTTAGGGACAATGTGACATAATGTGTATATTATACATATACACATAGAGTAATCAATGGTTGTTTAAATTTCGCATATTAATAAACCCAGGAGCGCACCAGTCCTTGTTTAAGGACCACAGTTCACCAAAAACGCGAACCCAGAGGAACTGCAGCGCACCTCGGATTGAATGCTCTGGAAAACTGAGCACGGACGAAATTTTGCAACACTTCCAATGCTGGAGATTGAAAGCATGGACACCAATTCAAGGCTTGAGCATCATGTCGTAATTACGTGTTTCCGTACCATACATGTTTGCTCAGCGGGCTGCAAACTTGCTCCTCTTCACATTGCCTGTCCGTCACTTGGGCTCTGCCCGTTGGTGGCCCTTGCTTGAGGACATGCCACGAAACAGGGAAACGCAACGTTGAGTTACCCCGCGGCCCTAATTCGAACTCCGAGATACTGTTGACGTAGTTGGCCGAAGCATACCTTCGCAAAGCGACATGACCATGTTAGCTACTTGCATGACAAAGCAATCGGAACCATATCTCACACCAGCTCGTTTTGCTGGAACACAATGTGTTCAGCTGTATATTTTGACACTCACACTCGGACACAGCCTGGCAAGGTCTGCAGCAATACTGATCCCACGAGACGTTAGCAGCTACATCGAACTGGTATCATTCGATGAGCTTAGCTCTATGATCAACCTTGGATATACGCTCCCATTACTTTCCTGTATCAAGCTCCAGGCCTCTAACACCACCAACACTCACGGTAAGGCCCTGGCGCCATTGCACAATAGCAGTAAACAGGATTCTCCCACAGGTTTCCTTAGCAGCACGAGTTGCCTCTTGGTCTATTCAGATGCTGCTGGCCCTGCTGAGACTCAAAGCGAATGGTACGAGCAGTAACCGTTTTACTAGTTGTTGTCGCTGTAATAACGTAGTAGCAGTATCAGCAGCAGGAGAAGTGGTGGGAACTAGTACTAGTAACTAGTAGTAGTAGTAGTAGTAGTAGTAGTAGTAGTAGTAGCAGTAGCAGTAGCAGTAGTAGTAGTAGTAGTAGTAGTAGTAGTAGTAGTAGTAGTAGTAGTAGTATATAGTAGTAGTAGTAGTAGTAGTAGTAGTAGTAGTAGTAGTAGTAGTGGTAGTAGTAGTAGTAGTAGTAGATAGTAATAGTATATAGTAGTAGTACTAGTAGCAGTAGTAGCCGTAGTAAGAAAAAATGGCAGTAGCCATATCTTCATCCCATAATATTTACTGAGATCAGCCCTCGTTGTAGTGAAATGATTTCCGGTGACAAATGGCCGTACTATATTCGTTCATGTCAGGCGTCTAGAAGTAGATCGTCCTATATGTCCTCCAGCACATAAGGTTCAGTTCAAGGCTAAGACTGCTCTATTCCTAAATCATTAAAGTAGGTTTGATATACTGCTTCAATCAGCGCACTCCCAATGCTCTACAGACTCTGAGTAGAACGGGTCCACGGTGCACCGTGCCGAATGCCACCGGAAAATACAAACTAATGCTTGAATCGGCATTCACAGTACGGAGGCAGCTCTGCCTCCGCCGTTTCCGCAAACGGCCTTTGCCGTACAAGGCCCAAACCTGCGAGGGCTCGCGGTGAGAGAGAGTGTGGCAAGCCTGATGGTTGCGCTTCTGTCTGAGGCCCGCACGTCTGCACTGTAGCACAATTCTCTGTGGAAGCGGGTCGGCAACCGGAGGGTCCCGACCAGCTCGTCGTCGCAACTGTCGTCGCCTACGTCGATTTCTGAGAAGGCGTTTAGGCCTGGAACCACACGGAACATGAGCCTTTTGCTGATCACTGGTTTTGGCTCATTCTACCTCCCCCAGCACGGTACACAGGACTCCCGAAGAGCAGAAAGCCACCCCAAAAATCCCAAACCGTCCATCCAGGTCCAACACCAGAACGGACAGTCCCAAAGCCAAAAGTCACGAGGTACATTGCAAGCAAGCGGCTCGACCCCACCCTCCTGGGAGTCAAAGACCGAGGAGCTAGCAGCGGCAGCCGAAGCGCCAACAGGCAGAGTCGCATTGCGCGGTGCAGAAAAGTCAGCATCGCCGTGCTAAGTCTCATTGCTCAGTGCCCATGGCCCCGAGCGTGTGAAAAGATTACTAATTCAGGGGCCCCAAGAGGAGGGCCGGTTCTCCTCGACAACGTGGTCGGTAGAGCAAATGCGGGTAACGCCAGCACACGAAAGCAGCAGCAGAGCAGAGCAAGCACGGGGAAAGGGAACGGCCACGCCTGACCGGAAGTCTTACCTGAAGTGAGAGGGGTCCTCTCAAGGTTGTGCATCAATTGGGGATGTCTTAAGTGGGCTCCACAGGCCTCTGCTTGGACATCTGTCGATGTCTTCTTTCTGCCCAACGGCCAATTATAAGGGGTGCTTATCAGACTCTTGACTTCTCTTTTTGATTCAATCACAACTGCTACTTGCAGCTTTCGCACCACCACGGAGTGACCTGTTGATGATCTCGCCGATGGCCCGCATGTACTCCGCGGAAGTAGCTGCCAAACATGCCCGCAACCACTGAGAAGGTCGGCCGTGTCAACCAGCAGCAGTAGTCTCTGCAGCTCCCTCCTGCTGCGATCGCCCTCCCTTCGCCGCTTTCCTGAAAGTCTCAGTATGCCAACTGAGCTCGGCAGCGTCCGGGACCCGACCGTTCAGGAGACAAGCCCAAGCCGCGATCGGGCTGAAGACAATGGCACAGAGGCCGCGCGCATCTTATGACAAACTGGGAGCAGAGCAATGCGAGTCGCCACGGAAGCCGCCTTGTCCTTATACGTTTCTGCTCTTTCCGGGCCAAGGGGGCCGATTCGCACGTCAGCCGCGTCAGCCGAACCGGACCTCCGACTGAAAACTTGAGTCTTTGCCTCGTGCGCTGCGCAGAGCTCCAAGGGCTCCGGGCATGTGACACCTGCGGAGGTGACCCACCGTTCCTGTCCCTTCCACAACAAGAAGAATGAGGATTTTTTTCCGGCACGCCCATGGCCTTGCTGAGACCAATTAAAGCGAAAGGATAGTCACACGAATCGAAAGCTTTCCGATAGTCAGAGCCATGGCATAACTGTGAGTCTCTGGGAAGTCAGTCTCAGCCACAAGCAGCATAACTTCGGGGTCAACACCGTGAGCAAGGTGCTCGGCGAGGTATCTAAGCCTGAGGCGACCCCAAGCTCCATAAATCGCGCTGCTGATAACAATAAGACAAACCTCATCCAACCACGGACAGCAATGCGTCCCTTTGGGTGGGAAGATCATCTTCCATTGGGTAAGGCTCTCAAGCCACTGACCCGAAGTTTCACAATGATTCAGGAAAGAGGCGAGCTGACTGAGGCCTTCTTCAGGGAGCGAGCGCAAGCAATCAGGAGAGAAACCATCGAGCCTGGCCGCCTTGAGGTCTTGGGCCGTAATCGGAGAGAGAAGAGGGCCCGGAGAGCGAGAACGGAGGTATTCACTATACTTCTGTTGAAAAGCTTCGGCCGTGCGTGTACGCCGGTTGATGAGCCCCAAACATAGCGCTCCAATGCTCTCTTTGCGCCTCCGCCGCCGCAGGGCGGTTACTGAAGACTTTGTTCTCAGCAGTCTGAAGGCATTGCGGGCTGGGGCCTTCGCTTTTGATCCAAGACGCGGTGCCTGACAAAGAATGGACACGGTGCTTCCACTCGGTCAGAGCCTTAGCCTGTCCGTTGGCAAGCTGGGCACGAAGTCTTTTTTTTGGACCAAAAGACCGCGAGGCCCCAACGGCCCTGAGTGACCGCCTGTCGCTCCTCAGACTGCACAGGTGCCCTACTGCACTGATCCTCCTGACCAGGCCAGGGACAGCAGGCTTGGACATGTGCCTCAGTGAGTGGCAGCAAAGTTCTGTGGGTCTGCCTCTCCTCAAGAAACTGAGCAAGACCAGCATGAGCTGCCGGGCGTGGTTGAGGCATACTGCCAAGCGCCCTTTCACTATGCGACTTAGGCGCACGCTCCGAAAGAATCAGCCATTCCTCGGCTGCCTGAGACCAGAGGAGCTACTTGGACTCGACTAATGGAAGGCCTGACAGGCCACCGCGGCTCAGACCTGAAGGCTCTGGTTTTGGCCATTCTCCAGACACGTGGGCCTTTCTGAAAAGACACCTCAAGAGTGCAGCTGGCAATGTTATGGTCCCCAAGACCCGGAAGTTCAGCAGTGCTAGAAACCTGCATCGATGGGGTACAGGTGGCGGGCCACTGCCGCAATGCTCGCTCTCTCACCCGGGAGCAAATCATTGATGGGGCTATCAAGTTGATTCTGGTTGTCGTCAAGGCACACAACCCGATCACGACAAGAGGCACCCTGAATCTGAGAATTAAAAGCCTCGAGGAAACCCGTCTTCATGCACAATAGCTCTGCGGATGTGAAACTGGGCGCCACACTCACGTGTGACGTTGGAAACCCCAAGGGGCTCACGGACACAAATGGCCACACCACCCCTACGCTTGCCCGTCTGCCGAGCCACGTGCATTTCCCATCCTCAGCGACGAGCTGTGCTACACGCACCTGAAAGCGCAGCTTCTGAAAGGTTCAACTCCTGAAAACAAACGACCTGAACGTTGTCATCAAGAGCAGTTTTCAGGACAGCTTCCCCATTGTGGGTCCAGCTGGAAACGTTCTGACTCCCGATGGCCAGCTTTCTGGGTTGTGAGGGACCCGGGTTTTGGGCCTCGCCGATGCGCTGTCCATTGAGCCCTCGGCAAAGGCCGCGAGACAACGCTTGACGAGGCGCTGACCTTCAGCAACTGAGTCTTGCTACCGAAATGAGGCTTGCTACACGCGAGTCTGTTGAGCCTGTAACTTGAGCCGTAGTAGTAGTAGTAGTAGTAGTAGTAGTAGTAGTAGTAGTAGTAGTAGTAGTAGTAGTAGTAGTAGTAGTAATAGTAGTAGTAGAAGTAGTAGTAGAAGTAGAAGTAGAAGTAGAAGTAGAAGTAGAAGTAGAAGTAGAAGTAGAAGTAGAAGTAGAAGTAGAAGGAGAAGTAGAAGTAGTAGTTGTAGTAGCAGTAGTAGTAGTAGTAGTCGTCGTAGTAGTACTGTAGTAGTCGTAGTAGTAGTAGTAGTAGTAGTAGTAGTAGTAGTAGTAGTAGTAGTAGTAGTAGTAGTGGTAATAGTGGTAGTAGTGGTAGTAGTAGTAGAAGTAGTAGTAGTAGTAGTAGTAATAGTATTAATAGTAATAGTAATAATAGTAATAATAATAATAATAGTAATAATAATAATAATAGTAATCATAATAATAATAGAAATAATAATAATAATAATAATAATAATAGTAATAATAGTAATAATAGTAACAATAGTAACAATAGTAACAATAGTAATAATAGTAATAATAGTAATAATAGTAATAATAGTAATAATAGTAATAATAGTAATAATAGTAATAATAGTAATAATAGTAATAATAGTAATAATAATAATAATAGTAATAATAATAATAGTAATAATAGTAATAATAATAATAGTAATAATAGTAATAGTAAGAATAAGAATAAGGGTAAGAGGCAGAGTAAGAGTAATAGTGATAGTAAGAGTAACAGCACTAGCACTAGTACTAGTAATAGTAATAATGATACTAATAGTAATAGTAGTAGTAATAGTACTAGTACTAGTACTACTACTACTACTACTACTACTACTACTACTACTACTACTACTACTACTACTACTAGTACTACTACTAGTACTAGTACTAGTACTAGTACTAGTACTAGTACTAGTACTAGTACTAGTACTAGCAATAGTAATAGTAATAGTAATAGTAATAGTAATAGTAATAGTAATAGTAAAAGTAAAAGTAAAAGTAAAAGTAATAGTAATAATAGGTAGTAATAGTAATAGTAGGTAATAGTGGTAGTAGTGGTATATAGTAGCAGTAGCAGTAGCAGTAGCAGCAGTAGTAGTAGTAGTAGTAATAGTAGTAGTAGTAGTAGTAGTAGTAGTAGTCGTAGTAGTAGTAGTAGTAGTAGTAGTCGTAGTCGTAGTCGTAGTCGTAGTCGTAGTCGTAGTAGTAGTCGTCGTAGTAGTAGTAGTAGTAGTAGTAGTAGTAGTCGTAGTCGTAGTCGTAGTCGTAGTCGTAGTAGTAGTAGTAGTAGTAGTAGTAGTAGTAGTAGTAGTAGTAGTAGTAGTAGTAGTAGTAGTAGTTAGAAGTAGGAGGAGGTACGTTGTCGTGGTGATATCAGCAGTGGTGGTGGTGGGGCGTGGTGCGGTAGACTGCAAGGCATGCGCTTGCCTTTGGGAGCTCACGGTTCGACCAAGCAGACAGGCAGCTGAGCTGGGCCTTCAGACTTCTGCGTGCCTGGCTGGAAAAAGTGTTGCTCAAGCGATCGAGGGACTCAGCCAGGACTCGAAGTTGATCAGCTCTAGTGGCTCAAGTTGGCTAATGCCGGTCGGAGGTGCGCAGAGTTTTCTACGCATCTCTCGCCTACAGTGCCTGGCCTCCTGCTCAGCTTCACCGGCTGAGTCGCATGGAGCCTTCAACACAGAGAGCCCGTGCACATGGTCAAGATGAGCACAAAAGGGAAAATTTGCAAACAAATGCAAGTATCCCCTTCCAGAATCTACACATCATCGAGACACGTCAGGTTCGCATGCGTGGCATTTCTTCCGAGCTCCCCGCAACAAGATGCTCATCCAAGCTTTCATTCGCGAGCCGCGCTACCCGCTTCCTTCAAACATCAAAGGAACTTCGGCGGGACTGACTGTAAGAAGAAAGCTCCAGCTTGAAGGATTATTCCAGGTACTCCAACTGGCAGCCCACTACGAGCAGCTGGGGTTCTTTTTCTTTAGTCAATTATCTTGTTCTTCCTCGCTCCCAGACCCGAGCAGCACTGCACAAGCTACGGAGGTCAGCCTTGATATGCGGGCAAGGCTCTTCGGCGATTTCATCTTTACCTGAGATGCACAGACTGTACAGATTTCGTCCACTCCCTCATAACAAATGTCCCACTCACCACCCTTTCGTTGGCGTTCTACGGCGTCTACCGGCTCTGCAGTACGTGCAGCACATGCCGCCCGCCCCAACAGTGGCATGGTTCGGGTTGCAGCGTCTAAATTGTTCCAGTCCGCCCCTCTGCAAGCTCCGTGGGGGTCTCATGTCCCTGTTCTTAAAAGCCGGCCCCGTATCACAGGTGGGTAGGCACGCATGTTTGTTTTCTTCTCCGAGCCAATGTTCCCACAAACCGCGCCAACCCCAAACCCGCACACTTAAACCTCCAAGCCCTTCTAAACCTAACAAATTCACGTACGACAAGCAATGTCACGCCGCCGTTGGCATCAAGGTTTTTGCACAGTGGAATTACAAAGAAAATCCAGACAAACTGCCAGGATGGAGGATGCTGTGCTGATCGAGTTCACTCAGGTTGCGGCATGGATGCTCCAGGACGATTGAACACGCTCAGAAATAGATTTTGTTGATGCTGCGAAAGTGATCAGATGCGCTGAAAAATGGACGCATTAAGCTTGCCAGCATGGAATCGGGCTCAGTTTGTGCTGTTGCTGCAGCCAGCGACATTTGCTGGAACGGTCCCAGTGACTGCTTCCTCACGTGTGTCAGCATGCGGCCAACCGCATGAGCTTGCAAGAACTAAAAAATCATCGCAATCTCGCACAACTGAAAACCTGCTCTCAGAGCGACAGCCGCCGAATGGAAGCCCAGCTGCAAAAGGCTCCAGAGACCTGTCCTCACGAATCGTAAACTTTTGCCAATCCGTCAGGGCCAAGGCCAGCCAGAGGGCAAACAAGGCACCGGCCTCAGGTTCGCAGCACATCTTCGGACTGTGAAGCTCCGGCTGCGTCTAGGTTCATGCGCGCGTAGGGCGCCCTGGAGCATTTAAAATAACACTTAAATGATGAATCAACAGCAACTGCACTGCACCAGAATCTCGGGAGAGGCGCTTCGATCTGGAAGGCAAGTTCATAGGAGCATCCTTGTGCCGTCGTGAAGCCGGCGATAATGGTACCTGCAAAAAACACTGCAAGCCAAACATCCAATGCACAACGAACATGGGAGAAGGCCAACGTCTTCGTAAGTTTACGCTTCTTTTGTACCTTGCCAACGGGTTCCCTCACATATGCGCGGCTACCAAAACAGTAGCGACAAGCATCCTCCCCACGTGATATGACCGACGCCTGTGTCAAAAATGGACAATGGATGGACAATCTAAAAAGCCTACAGTCGCTTCAGTGCAGCTTCAGATGCCCAAACCATTCCCAACTCCTGATGCGACGCCACCTCCTGACATGTCGATGCCACGCTGCGCGGCTCTCAACAAGTCGATAAGCAGATCTACCATCACCGTGAACGTTCTATGAACCCAACCAGCCCTCTCCTGACAGGTTCATCCAGATAGGTAGTGACGCCGGAGGAGCCCATTGGCCGATCCAGAGTGGGCACCATACCCACTGCAAGCTCTCCGTAAAGCCGATCCTCGTTCAGCTTCGGGCACCCCGGCTAAGAAAACAACAAAGAGCAGCGTCGTCTGTGGAGCTGGGCGATATGGGAGGGGGGAACCGTATATTCCTGGAGATTTCATCTCTCTAAGCGTGGATGGGTCGTGGTAGATGTGCTTCACCGAGCGTCAGCAGCTTCGCTAGGCACATTGTAATTGGATTCCTCAATGTCGCAAAGATCAAAGTTGAGGTCGCGTTGACGAGGAGTCCTGCGACACGTGGTCACGAAGGCAGTGGCGAAAGGGAGCTTCTTCTAATTATTCATGCCAAGTTTACTGAGCAGGGAAATCGCAGAAGAGGAGATTAAAGGCTCGTCTTGTACCATGTGGCAGCCGTTGGCCGTTGTTGGCTCAGCTTTAGGAAGTCAGAGACCATCGAGACCCGGGAAAACTCGCATGCTGCAATTTCCGATTCGAACTTGGCAATTCCTGAAGTTTTCCTCGACGTCACTCAGACGCAAACACCGCTACAACTCAAGCTGATGTGTCGAACTGCCCCAGCATGTCTCCATCAATCCTGCACAGAGCAACCTTTTGGACGAAACACGCTGGAGCATGTATCCTTGCCAGCACACGTGAAAGGAATGATTCTCCAACTCATGGAAGGCAGGACGCCGGGTGTGCGGCTCGGGGTCTCTTTTCTGCCATCAGTCGTCTGCATGCCGTGCACAGTTGCTTTTGGGGTATTTTGGGGTCTGCCGAGTTGCCCCAGAACGCTGCAGCCATCCTCGGCACGGCTTCCAACAACATAAACATTTCATGAACACCGCAGGCCTGGGGTGCGACCAGTTCAAGAGATAAGGGCGGGAGATCTCAATGACTCAATGCCATAGCGCTCGCTGGTTAACATCCCTATGCCTTCGAAGCTGGCAAAGTTTACTCATGATCCTCAGCAAGTCAACGCTGCCACAAGCGCAGGAAAGCAAAGACAAACGTCTTATTCTGTAAATAAAGCCTTGGGAAGTGCAAGCCCCAAGCATTGGGCCTGCAACTAGCATCCTATCACATGCCACAACGCCGCAACCTCTGAATCCTGCAGAAGAGGGGTCAGCGGTTAGGCACTGCTTGGCACCAGTTGCACAAACATCGTCTCAACCACAAAATGTTCGAGTTTATTTTGGCACCGCGCTGTGGTTTTAGCACTGGTGGTACAAACAGGATGAACAAGGGGGCAGCGAAGAGGCAAGTCACAACGAGGAACGAACAGAAGGAGGATAAGTACGACGTGCAGGGCGATTGAAGATGACAGCTGACAACCATGAGCTGTGAGTGGGAAAGCTGGCAGAAAAGAGGGGATGCTAAGATGCCGATCGAGGCGAGACTCGTCATCCCAATCTTGTCCATTGCTCCGAGCAGCCTCGGCTGAGAACAACATAGGACATTCCTGCCTGCCTCCCGGCTCGCTTCTCATGACTACAGTCCCTATATGTCCCTATGCAGTCGCCAGAAAGGGTTTCATCCTTCTGTTCAGCTGCTCGCAGAATAAGATCACACTTCAGCTGCGCGGCCCAATCCCGGCCGGACTCCAGTGACCTTCTTTCTGAATTGTGTCGACAGTTGCGGCTGTCGCACCGCCTCAGGCACCGAGGGAGAGGATCTGGGGATTGTACTGCATCGAGGCAACTGTCCAATCTTCTCAAACCGTCGACGACTTTACATCAAGTTCAGGTTCGAGGCCGCAGCCAAGGAGCCGTTATAAGACATGAAGACGGGCACTGCCAGGCAAAACAGCGTGAACATGACACATGCCGGCAGTGGTATCCCCATGGCTCAGGAGGAGAAAAAACCGACGTCTCGGCTGGTGGAAAATACGCACAGGTGAAATCCGTGCTCCGCCGTGACTTGTCCAAGGCAGCTCGGCTTGGCAGTACGTCTGACTTTGCAGGAGTGAGATTGGTCTGGGTCTGCGTCAAGTTGTGCCTAACGGCCTAGCGGCACCCTCAGAACGCTGCACGTTTCTGCTGCGACTTTGGCTGCTTTGAGCCGCTCTGTGCCAGATGCAAGCTTTTGCAAAGAGAATTCACGAGTGCTCCATGTAGCATTTAGAAGTGACTGACAGCAGTGAAGTACTTCTGTTGCACATTTTTTGGCTGAGCTGGCTCTTGGCGACGGTGATGAAATCGCCTTGCGGCACAGGGGACCTAAAGCAAGCCCGCAAAAAAACTGCTCGGCCAGGCTCTCTTCGTGAAAGGGGATGTGCCCCATTGCTTGTGTTTGGGGGCTTTGTGGGGATGTGACAACTACAAGTAGGCTTCTGACGTAGGTTTCTATATGCTGGTTTGAGCTCCCTGTAACATGAGTTCTCCTTCCCTTTGTTGACACGTGCTCGAGTTTAACCACATCCTTGTTCTTCAGAACAACACTATTTACGGATATACAAGAGGTCGAAGGATCGGTCCCCGGTTCGGAAGTGCTCCACACTTCAGCAGGGACGGTGCTTTTATCGCCCCTGCGAATGAGGTTTGGGGTTCCCGACTACATCCACAAGAACTATCCCCATCATTCACCGGACTCTCTCTGCCTCTCTCTTGCACAAATTGCTGATCCTTGCACTGCCTCTGCAGGGCACACGCAGACGACCGTGTCAAGTCACATCAGAATTTGTAGTCAGAGCCATCCGGACCCTGAACTATGGAAAGACACCGGCCTCAGCATCGCGAGCTACTCGCCGGAGTGTGGGGGCCGTGACCGCGATCGATCCCGGGCATCACCGTTGGTATGAGCAGGGCGCCTCGGGCTTGATTGCTAGGCTGCTAGGAGACCCCGGCGCACTTGCCAGCAAGGCTGCTTTTTCGGTAGATGTACATTGGTGGCGCAGCCCGCACAACTCCATCGAGTTCTGGTGCGGCCAGATAAGGAGAAATTGGGAAGTAGATTGATTAGGCAGAACCTACTGTAGGACTCAGGCCGTATGCTCTGTCCGGAACTTGTCATGCTGTAAGCTCGGCTGGCTGAGCTAGCCACTACCACATCCAAGCACTTACTACGAGCGCAGTACAGCAGTCGTGTTTGTCCTGAGGTGGATATCTGATACCGACCCCGAGACCCTGCGTTAGCCGACGAGAGCTCTAATCGACTCCAGGCCTGTTTTGTGTCACTTCGCTGGGCGCCCGACGGCCCTTGGGGGCCCTTTGAAGGGGCCTCCCCGGTGAAGCGCAGCCCGGCAGCCCGCGCGGCCTTGAAGGGGGGATACTCCATGGCCTTAGCTGCCACAAGCGCAGCGTTTTTGAGCCTGGCTTCGGGCATGGCCTCATAAACTTCATGCTGGTTTCAGCTCAGAAAACGCCCCCTCTGCTTGGAGTGTAGGGTGGTGAGTCTGGGATAGATCTTCCCTTCGACTTCCTGGGGTGCAACGTCCAGTGCCGATGTAAAGCTAGCGATGCATGCTGGCGAAGATGGCTCTCGCATGAACCACTGGGCTGAAGCTCTGCTTCAGTGCCCGAATTCTGAAGGATTCGTCGACGTCAACGAACTTTCAAAATTTTCAAAGTAACTCCCCTGAGCCTCTCAAGAGCCGTTTGAAACTCCAAGCGGCCAGTGCCAGCAGCTCTGCACTGGACTCCTGGCCCACGTCCTCTGGGAAAGCAGCAGCCCTGCACAGGAAAGCCTCTACTATTTGCTTAAGAACCACCCAAAAAACAAAAAATATATTCCTTATGGGGGTAATATAGGGATTATTCTTTTTATTTTTCGGGGGTTTCTTAAGCAAATAGTAAGCCTTCCACGAAGACACGAATCACGAATGTCGCATGTTACATCAGTCCTCAAGGTGCTCCACAAGCAAGGCTGCCATCTTTCGGTGATTCGCTTCACCCTTGCCCTTGCCTTTTCTGGCCTGCATGTGGAGGTCGTTTGAGCGAACCCCCATGCAACAAGTCAAACCGATGCGAACATGGGAGGCTTCCGATTGCATCTGTTCGGCGGTAATTCTGTATTGATGCATGCAAAAACAGTCTGGGATGTCGGCAATGAAATAATTCAATACGGCTCGCCTTACGGATCCTGAGTGGGCGAGGGAGAGATTGAGGGATGGAAAGAGGTGAAGGCAAGTTGTCCAGAAATTCTGTACCAGAGTGAAACTGAAGGTTAGAACCTCAACACCGCAAACCCGACACATAAAACATATGTCTGTCTGTCTGCAAGTGAACGTATGCATGTTCTTAGAACAGACAACGATGCAAGGCAAGTCTGCCTCGGCAATTGAAAGTCGACTCTGCTTTTCCAACAACCCTCTGCCGGACCCTCGGGCTACGCCGCTATGCTGCACGAACATGTTTCTATGCTGTGACCAAAGGCCACAGGCTAGGTGTTGGGCTGGGTCCTTCATGTCGCAACCAGTTGAATGTTAGAGTGGTTGCGGCCACCCAAATTACAAAAAATGGCACGTCCAAGTCGTCGGTGCCTCACGGCTCAGCAGTGCAAACGCCTCGCCCGTGGCACCTGCACGGCCTGTCCGACCAACTCCTGTGCGGCGGTCAAGAGGAGGATGCAAAGGGCATGGGGTTAAGGTTCGAGATGCAGATTTCATCCGATGGTGTCGTTTTTTCTGCTTTTAACGTTTTGTAGTGTCCGACTTTTCTGCGGGCCGGTTTAATGGTTTTAAACATGTTTCAACTGAGAGTTGGCGACATCATAGGAGGATCCCGTGCCTTCCATTGGGAATACAACGCACATGCAGAACAGTCCAACCTGGATCTCATCCAGCTTCACGATTTCTATGAGCACAGCAACGACATACTGATAACAAGCAGTGCAGGAATGATTGTCACGGTGTGGCTGCGTCGCGTTGAACTTAGCTGACTGTCTGGGAGGTTGCAGCTGTGTGCTCGGAGTCGATTGGGGAGTCACCTTGTGGCTGCTGTTCGGCGACATTGGCTAAAGGAAAACAATCCTGCAAGGGGGATGCATGGCCCTGGGTTTGGGAGACGAGCGGCGATGCGTGTGGGTCTCGATGTCGCGGGCAACATCGAAGGAAACCACTGTGCGGATAGTGGTGATGTCCAGACCGCGGGCAGCGACATCGGTCGCTATCAGAAGGTTCCTTGGCAAACCATGTCTCAGGCGCCAGGAATAACGGCATCACCACTGGAATGCTTTCCAAGCCTCTCCCGCTGCTTCCGGAGGTTGTCTATCACCCTCATGCGCTCGTCTTGCTCCAGGTCTCCATGAAGCACAGCAGTCGTCTTTTGAACGTCTGCGAACTTCTGCTGGAGCTCCTTCGACTCACGACAGCCATAAAGCCAATCGAAGAGAATCCCAGCACTGATCCTGCTGCCAACGTTCTGGGCTATACTGTGGATCCATTCGAGGCTAGACTGCCCATCCCGGCTCGGAAAGCTTCGAGCTCTTTGAGCTGCCGAGGAGGACAAGATTCCATTCTCTATGTATCTCGATGTCTTGAGAAACCGACGTTGTGATCTTCATATATCTACCTGTAGACCCTAACTTGCCATGCTACTGCTTTCTGAATCTGGTGCTGGCGGCCCATCGCTTCTTCTCAGTTGTAGTCGAGTCTCGGATTTGCCAACCTAGTTTTTCAATACATGACATAGTTGCTCAGGTATGCATGCATCATCAGGCCTCTTGTCGTTTTCTACTGTATCGGTTAATGCGGCTCGCTTCTTAAGCGTCGGCCGCTTGCTACTACTTCGATCTTCTGCTGCTACTGATTGCTACTGCTACTGCTACTGCGACTACGACGGCGACTACCACTACTTCTTACTAATCCTACTACTTCCACCACCGTCAACACCACTACCACTGCACGGCAATGCTCTCCTCTACTCTTCTTTTCGACCACCACCACCACCACCACCACCTCTGCAACTTGTACTACAATGTTGACGACGACGACTACAGCAATACTGCTGCTGCTGCTGCTACTGCTGCTACTACTACTACTACTACCACTACTACTACTACTACTACTACTACTACTACTACTACTACTACTACTACTTCTACTACTGCTACTGCTACTGCTACTGCCGCTGCCACTGCCACTGCTGCTGCTGCTGCTGCTGCTGCTACGACTACTACAACACCACCACTACTACTACTACTACTACTACTGCTGCTGCTGCTACTACTACTACTACTACTACTAGTACTACTACTACTACTACTACTACTACTACTACTACTACTACTACTACTACTACTACTACTACTACTACTACTACTACTACTACTACTACTATACTTCCTACTACTTTCCAACACTGCAAGTAATAACAACACCATAAAATGATGCTACTTCTGGCACCACTAGTACTTCTACTTCCGCGGCTACTGCAACACCGCTACAATACAACTGACTGCAACGTCTTACTACCGATGCTACTACCGTGCGACTACTTCCTTGTTGCTCTGCTGCTGAAGTTTTACTCTTTCATCAACGCAGTACCGGATTTCTCTGCCAGGGTCCAGGGTCTTAACTAATGCATGACAGGACAACAGCAGAAACAAGTTTCCCACAATCACGGCTGCCTCACACTGACTGTCTCATGGCAACTGCTGTACGTGTGCAACCATTCTCGCAAAAGCCTACCGAAATCGAAACCATATCGGTATCGAACTGCGAGGTATATATCGCTAATGCACTTTGCATTTCCAGCTAAACCCGTCTATTTCAATAGTCGTTAAACATGCTGCAAAATGCCATGACGACCAGGACAGCTCTCTTCGGTCCTGGGCGGCCTGCTTTGACTTGACAAACACTAGGGTTTGCCCCTTTGCCAGCATTTGGTCCACCCTGGCATGAAGCC